AAGTCCCCCAGCAGTCTGACCCTCTGCTAAGTGATGTTTCACGCTCGACTGATCCTGCCCTAACTACACAGCAAATTCCAAAGTGTTAAATTTTTTGGTGTTAATAGTCTCCTTGCAAAAGTAGAGTTAATTTTACTCTAAGTAGAGTCACATTCTTTTAATGTAACTCTGAGGTGTAAAATGATAGTAGTTAAAATCGAGTGTTAAAAATGAGTGTTTCTCTGTCAAATCTGGAGGTGTTACAATGGAAACATTAACTCCTGACCTCTTAACTCTGAACTCCTAGAGGGGCTATGACACCAACAGAGTAAATTCACAGACTCCGCCCCCAGCACCATAGGCTCCAATCGAAGCTGAAGTGAAGCCGTTTCAGAACATTTTGCTCTACATATTTGAGTTGTTTGCCATGCTTGGTAAGTCATTTTTTCAAAGATTGTTTCAATTATTATTATGAGCTTCTACTTCTGTGGCTCTTTGGAGTTGAGACAAAGCTGTGTGAAAGGCATTAGCCGTGTTGCTCGGTGATAGCATAATATTCTGTTTTAGCTAGCTGAAAGGTATTGTTTGCGGGCAAATACCACAGCCTTGGAAAAAAAGCTTGCATGTGAATTTTCAGTCAAACTTTTGGTCAAATACACCTAAAACAATGTCTAGAATGTGAAATGTTGGTATAATGGTGCTGCTTGAAGCCTGAAAACGATCGCCCATAAAAAAAAAACAAAAAACGAGCAAACAGCAGTAGCTGACATCCTGACTGGATTCTACGTTAGCATAGATCCCTCCAGAGATTTGTGCACACGGTTTAGGTAAAAATGAAAAAGGTTGAGGTTTTACATTTAGTTCAGTATTACCTGTTGCCTGTGTCTTTGTCTTTTGGGAAAATACTTTACACAAGTAATGGCTCAAAGAGGATTCCTTTTTTTTTACTGTGCTGCAATTGTTTACTGGATTATTTGTGCCGTTAATTAGTGTCAACTAATTTTTATTCAATCTCTGCACAGGATATGCTTGTGAAGATGGAATATGGGGGAGAGCAGAAGTGCGTTGCAGTTCCACAAAGTGATGAATGAAGGACATGCATATTGTATTCAAGAAATAAGTGATGAGAATGCTGTTATTTGCATTTACCATGTCAGAACTTTTGATAAACAAAATTCTAATGAAAGTGAGAACATGTATACTGTTACATCTTTCAGAAAATGTTTTGAAATTGTGGTGCACAGTTCAGAATAAAAGTTTTTCAAAAACCATTGCATCTTTTTAGTAAATGTTTATTTCCAAAAGAAATTTCTAGAAGTTCAGAACAGTAAAATTCCTGCTTTTTAGAATGAATTAGAAGATAACTCTTACGTAGTTAAACTAAAATACTCTTTGAGAGTTAATATATAAACTCTTAACACAAAGTGTTAAATTATCAACTCCAGACAGATTTGGTGTTTAACACTAAATCAGAGTTAATGTACCAACTCTCCAAAAAGAGTTAAATTAACACTCTCTGGTGTGGACCCATATAGACACTTTAATAGTGTTGAAATCAAATCCGACAGTGTTAATTTGGACATGGTGGATTTGCTGTGTATAAGCATGAAATCACAAGCTTAAAAAAACCTTCCTTTAATGATGTCACACCCTCTATCACATTGCATCATATCCTGTCTATCTGGTAGTGTGTGTTAGTGTGTGCCACCCTTCTGGTCTGTGTGACAAAACCATTTAATCTTTCATTTACTGTATGTGATCAAGATTTCTTGTAAAGAAACATTTCATGATCATCTGAACGTGTATTAATTATGTTAGATTCTTGCATCCTTTCACCTTCAACACAATAAAAAAAAAAAACCCCACCAAATTATGTCATCCTGGTTTATTTAATCCTGAACCCAAAATGGGAGATTGGCGGCCAGGACAGGGTACTGATAGCTGAAGGCTCCGCCTCCCATTCTAGTTTTGAAACCCCAAAATGCCTTTTGTTAGGATAACATTGTACTATGAGGTATTTAAGATCGATGGGGCATTGATGGAGTTTGTGTGTAGAGAGAAGGATTTGATTCTGGATTTGACAGGAAGCTAATAAGAAGTTGAAGTGGGAGAAATATGATTTTATGGCTCCTATTAATGCTCTTGCTGTTGTATTTTGGATCAAATGAAGGTTTTTCAGGAAGTTATTCGGAAAACCCGATGACATGGATTTACAATAATCCAGCCTAGAATTTATTCTGGAATAGCCAGACCTAATATACCTCCATTATGAAGTTTTTCAGATATACTGTAGCTTAGTCACTGAGAACTTTGTATGGGAAGAAAATCACTTTAAATTGTTCCCTGTTTTCAGTTGAACTGTTGAATACTGTAATTTTTTTTGAAGGATTCCTCCTCTGATCAATTGCGTAACTTGTTTGGGAGGACATTGTCGTTTTATTTAACTGAATGAACAATCAAGCAGAATAAACACAACTAATTAAATCAAGGTCATGACTTAAAGCTAATTTTCCTCATTGCTTTACACAGAGGTGTTGTTCCTTCAGTCTGCAGAAAAATCATCCACCCACTTTGTTTTTGGATTTTTGAATCCAGCCTCCAAAAGTATCGATTATCTCATGTCTTTCTTTAACTGGAAAACAGCCATTTAAGAGTGCGTCAGCCTTTATTGAAATCTCATGTAAAAAAATACGAGAAAAATATGAATGCAGGACCCAACAACTCTGGGTCCACTCTAACAATATCCTGTCTTAAGCTGAAGTATGGTTACGCAACTGTAAAATGGTAAATGGCCTGTATTTGTGTAGCGCTTTACTAGTCCCTAAGGACCCCAAAGCGCTTTACACATCCAGTCATCCACCCATTCACACACACATTCACACACTGGTGATGGCAGCTACATTGTAGCCACAGCCACCCTGGGGCGCACTGACAGAGGCAAGGCTGCCGGACACTGGCGCCACCGGGCTCTCTGACCACCGCACCACTGACAGAGGCGCCCCAGGGTGGCTGTGGGTAAAGGGATCTATTATACTCCTTTACAACTGTGCATTTTTACTGTTGCTGAGCATTATCATGCTGAGCCTTGGTGATGCCCCTCAGTTGAACCTCTGTCTGAAAAAATCTGCTTCACTTCTTTTCCCTTTAAGCCAGCTTTCATCTAATTTGCTCTCCGTCACATAATGGTTAGAACCTGTGTGCCAGATATGACCACATAAGTAATATTCACTGTCAATGACATCATACAGAAATAAGAGAAGGAAAAAAAATGGACATTTGTGAAGCCTAAAGTTACTGGCTCACAGTAATTCCCTGTACATATGTTAATTTATTTGAAACTATGCCTGCAGATGAAGTTCATCAGACCAAAGATATGTTGGAGTTATCTGGCTTCACTCACCAGAACATCATCAGGTTACAGGAAGGTGGTTATAAACTTGGTAAGTCAATCACAGGATTTCCCCAGTCTTATTACAAGCCATTCTCATTAGAGGGGTAACACTGACCAATCACAAACAGCAGTATTTGAAGCAAGGAAGGACAGGGTGTTTACACTGTGAGGATTATTTGACATCACCGTCACAGCTTTATCAGTAAGAAACTGGAGAACCACATAGATTACAAGTGTTATCCTTTTAATGTTTAGTTAATGTGCATAAAGACAGTTCATCCTTCCATCCGTTTGCTTGCACTTATCCACTTCAGGGTAGCAGGGGAGCTGTAGTCCCTGCAAGGAAGCGGGATTACCTGGTGAGAACCCATGCAGACTCAGGACCTGCTGCGAGGTAACGGTATTAACCAGCATGCCCCCTGCATAAGGACAGTTTTAGTTTTTATTCCTTCCAGCTGCAGTCTTGGTGGCGTTTGCAACCAAGAGGGAAAAAGATATCCAGAAATAGGGCTGCATTATTAAGTTCTCTGATATTTGGTCTGATTGGGACCTGATGAATGTAAAAACAAAAAAATACCTGATTTTTTTTAACCTAAATTTTGTTTCTAAGAAAAATCAGAGCCATATATGAGGATATTCATTTTCGATACAAATTTCAATAGAACAGTAGCAGTAGAGTGTCCTCGTAAGTGGATATTAGGCCCCTGTAGAGCAAGATTTAGTATTTTGGTCTAAATAACCCAAAATGTGATGTCCACATATGTGGATGCCAGGTCCTAGGAGGTTAAAGAATCTGTATTTCTCACAGATGGTGAGGGGGGAAAAAACCCTGTAGACCAGGGGTGGGCAACACCAGGCCTCGAGGGTCGGTGTCCTGCAGGTTTTAGATGTTTCCTTGATCCAACACAGCTGATTCAAATGGCTAAATGACCTCCTCAACATGTCCTGAGGTTCTCCAGAGGCCTGGTAAAGAATTCATCATGTGATTCAGGTGTGTTGACCCAGGGTGAGATCTAAAACCTGCAGGACACCGGCCCTCGAGGCCTGGAGCTACCCACCCCTGCTGTAGACCCTCCTTCTACCTGCTCACAGAGATCCGAGGTATCTTCCACAAATGTGTGGCTGTAGCTCAGGAGGTAGAGCAGGTCATTGACACGCTAAAGTATCCTTGGGCAAGATATTTACCCCTAGCTGCTCACCAGTGCATCCACCAGAGTGTGAATGTTAGACAGAAAGCACCTAAGCATAGAACAAAGTGCTTGTATGAATGGGTGAATGAGGCAAGTTGTATAAAGCACTTTGAGTAGAGTAGAAAAGCACTAAAGAAGATTCAGTTCAGTCCATATGGTGACACCATTTCCCAGAAAACTGATTGGTCAGTAGGTGGTGATTTCATACCTGTTGATCTCTAATCTAAGACTAATCTAACCTGCTGTAATCTGGAGCAGGTTATGTCTGCTGCACAGCCCAGTAACAAGTGAAGCTGCCCTTTTAAAAATAAAAAAATAAAATCCAGAGTTAAACTGGAAGTTAGTGGAATAAGCACGAATCCTGCTTCATGCTACAAACTTCAGGAGCGACTACTCTTATAGAACGAAGCACGTTATTGGTCAAAAAGAAATAGACACACTTACATGAAAACAGATTTATTTTAAAATATACTCTTTAATGCCACTATTCTGATTTGAAGCTTCAGTTTGGTAAAATGGTTAAAACAATTAACTTTAGTTCATATTTGTAAGATAAGAAATGAAACTGGTCTGATAAACATTCAACAGTTTCAATGGTAACTTCCTCCTGGTGATCACGACAGACTTTCAAATCTTCAAGTGTAATGCTAGTTTAGCACTCACATTCTTACATGTTTCAAGGTTAATGCACAAATACACTCCCACTACTTTATGATGTAAACAGTAACTCATGCAGCCTGTGTGCACGAGACAAATAAGCAGTTCCGATTCCTGAAACATGGAATCTGTAGATTTCCCCCTGACAGGCGTCCATCACAGTCACCTTGTAAATGCCGTCTGTAAGGCTTCGTGCCTCCATCCTTAAATACAGGCATGCTGAATGACAGGAGGGAACAGAAGTAGGCTTTTCATTAAAAACAAACACTTAAGAACTACAAGAGAACAAATAAAATCATTAACACTATCCTCTTTCACACATTTCTCTGATTTGATCTTCATTACTGAACAATTTGTTTAAAAACAGCCCATCCACGCCACGTAAGGGTCCCGCGTATCTGTAGTGCAGCAGATGCAGCATGTAGTGTTGTACCGATGCCTGCAAACTTGATATGTTTTGGTTTGCAGCCTTGTTTAAGTCTTAGGAGAAAGTAGCAGTGAGGATGGCCTCTTGCTGCTGATGATGAAGGGTCCCGATGCCGACAGCAGGGGCGGGCAGAGCGGGCCGGCTCACTAACCGGAGCTGACAAGGACAGAGGAGGAAGTCAATTCGAGTAATATAATTCACTGAGGTTCACAGTGTAGACAGAATTGTTTCAAACTGTGCTCACCTTGCAGGCCAGCTGCTTCTCAAACCTGGGAGCTACAAAAGACCAGGGCCCCATGTTCTGAGGCTCCTCCTGGCTCCAAATGAACTCTGCAAGAGGATTTTAAAAATGTGATTATAACCTACAGTGATACAGGATTTATGTAGGTTAGCACTTTGGTTGAAGTTCCTCTCTTGCAGTTCAGTGAAATTTCAGCTCAGTGTGAAACCAGTTTGCTATAGAGTATTTGGTGAGAACGATAGTACAGCAAACTGAAGTGAAACCTGAGCTTTGTTTCTCATCCACACACACAAAAATGACCATTCAGAACAACTGCCAATCTAAATTATGTCTCTCCGTTTTAATTAAAAAAAACCCACAAACATACATGTAAAAAAATAAATTAATAAATAAACATGTAGTCATTCGCTAAAGAAAATGTGCCATCTTTCATTTCTAACAGGATTGAATGAAATGTCACGTGGTCTTTATCGGGTCTTGAAATTATTTAAATATAACTTTGGCTGAGTGGTAGTAATAATTTGATTTCTTTTCTTTTCCAGTCTTTTTTGTTGTAGATCTGTTGCTCTGCTTGGGATCGTTGTCTTGTTGCTCGACCCAATTTCAGTCAAACTTTAGCCGTCACACAAACGGCCTCACATTTGACTCTAGGATACTTTGGTATACAGAGAAGTTCACGGTTGACTCGATGACCTTAAACTACCCAGCTGCTGTGGCTGCAAAACAAAACCAAATCATCACTCCTTCACCACCGTGCTCGACACTTGGTATGACATGTGTGTGCTCATATCTAATTGCGATGCTGTGCATTAAGGTCACACATTTCCTTATCTGTCTCATCTGTCTAAAGGACACTGTCGCTAAAGTCTGGTGGTTTGCTCAGACGCAGCTTTGCAAACGTGCCATGTTTTTTTTGTTTCTGGGTTTTCGAGAGAAGACACTTTCTCCTGGTCACACACCAAATAAGCCATATTTCTTAAATCTTTTTTTCTACTGTTATGAAGTTTAGTATGTTAAATGTTAAATGTTGAGGCCTGCAGAATCTGACATGTAGCTCTTGGTTTTTTGCAGTTTCTTTGAGCATTGCACAGTCTGACCTCAGGGTAAATTTGTTGGGATGTCCACCCCTAGAAAGACCGGTTACCGTCTTGAATGTCGCTCACTTGTAAATAATAATAGTGAAAAACATTAGATGTAGAATGATAGGCTTCAAATTGTTTGGAAATGGTCTTTAACCCTTCCTGGATTGATGGGCAGCAGCAATTCTTTCTTTAAGGTCACTGCTGATGTCATTCTTCCTTGCCGTTGTTTTAACACACACCTGAACCAGCAAACTCACAGAACTCCTGCTTTTATGGGCACGATGCATTTGATTGTCAGCTATCAGCTCTTGGCTACTACTTATAGTTTAACTCCTCTCTGGAGGGGAGAGGGAGGGGAAACAGGAGGACAAAGGAGGGGGGAACAACTAAGCTGTAGTGCCTCTTCACCTCACTGTACAATACCTTGTGCAATACTTTTTGTAGATAGTCAACAGTGCAATAGACCTCAATACTTGAAATGTGCAATTCACTTGTATTTTTATTTTTTATTCCTATTTATTCTATTTATCCCCTTCATATATTTTATTTATATTGTCTCTGTATTTATATATGTGTGTGTGTGTGTGTGTGTGTGTGTGTGTGTATGTGTGTGTATGTGTGTGTATGTGTGTGTGTGTATATATATATATATATATATATATATATATATATATATATATATATATATATATAATATTCTGTAACTCTGTAACTTCTGTCGGTGCTGTGCTTTTTTGGAAATCGAATTTCCCAGAGGAACCCACCCGAGGGATTAATAAAGTTCTATCTAATCTAATCTAATACTCACAATTCTTGTAGAAGAAGGGTATAGTTAGTTTAAGGGCACGGCACACAGACATAACGTGCCATGTGTCATAATTTGAGCAGTTTGGTCAAAAAGCTCCTCGTCATATACCTCAGTTACCATCTGAAGACCATTATCTGAATCATCAATTTTTCTTTTAAAAAAACAGAACAAATATTTCTGACTGTCCTTTGCTGTATTACTGTTAAATAATAATCAGGATCTTTGTAAGACCAGAACCTATGATTTATACCCCAAAATGTGAAGATATTTTCAGCCCCGTGTTTGAAGTCTTCTTATCCTCACAAGCTGCATTTAGCTTTAAAACAAAAGCTGTCTGTGCCTAAAAAGTAAAAAGAGGAACCTAAAAAAAGTATGCAAATCACTCACCGCTTTGAAGGTTCAAAGGCTGTGAGCACAGGGTAATAACAACATTGCTCAGAAAAGCAATTCAAGATTTTGATCTACTCTGAGTCCTCAGCTAAACTTTGCCAGTTGAACACACACGTAGTATTTGTACTGCTGTTTACATAAATGCATTCTTGTGAAACTAAACAAGTAAGGATGGTGTGAATAAGCAAAAAAAGACATTGTTGGCAAGGAAATTTTCTCGTGTATGGAAAGCATGTCCATCACGCCTTGAATGACGCTCACAGGGACAGTAAAGGATAAAGTGAGAGAAACCTGTGAGACAACAGCTGTGCAGTAGGTAAGAGTTTGTCAGATACTTGATGATCTGGCATTTCAACTAAACGGTCGAATGTCGTTTCTGCTTTCAGCTGGATCACATTTAAATTACTCTGACTCAGACTTCAGCAGCGCGCTTTTGTAACCCTCTTCTGTCTGGCAAAAAGTCATCCTTCTAAAGTTTTTGACAGATTGCTAAATTGTATCCGTTTTCTTGATTTTATGACAGGTGGTCTGTTAAATGTAATAATAATTTAAAAAAAAACCAAACAAAACAAAAAAAAAAAACCCCAGTAGTTTGTTAAATAGATTTTATAGACCAACCCTTAAAGGTTAACCCCAACACTAACGTTTATAACTTATACAGAAGACACTTCATATGAGGTATGACCTCTCCTGGATGTGATGCAAGCCGTCACCTGTCTGGATCGGAATTACTCTCCATTCCTGAATGAGTGCAGCTGACAGCTGGCTATGCAATGGTCACTGGTTGTAGCTGCCTCTGATGAACGCATCCACCCAGGCATGTTCAGCAAGAAACACGTCAGGACTAAAGGAAAAGGCCAAGGAAGTGTCTGAGTACTCTCCTGATCCAGAAAGGCCTGCACTATTCTGGCGGTGTGGGAACCGGCACCGTCCCACTCAAGCAGCCACCACAGGCCTGGCACGATTACTCATCTCTGTTCCATGAGATTTCCACCAAGCTCAATCAGATGAGAGACTTTCTCTGATGGACATGCGAGGCTGCAGCAGCAGCAGCTCAGAACATCGGTCAGCCACATGGTGGCACTGATGAAAAAAACCGTTCATACACCATTTTTGTGTATACTGAAACCTCTGGATTGCAAATGTAGTAAATTGAACTTATTCTGAGTTTTTTTTCTACAAATAATCTGACTGAAACCAATCAACTACAACCAATATCTACTCACAGAACACGTTTGGATTTTCTAAAAGATTGATTTAAAATAATTTACAGAGAAATGGATTTCAAGCAGAGACTGGAAAAAGATTTCACGACAGAAAACTTGTGATTCTTATTCTGACTCATTAATAAAGTACCGTTGTAATTAAGTGGAAAAAAAGATATTTAGATTTGAGAACTTAAGTGTTTGTAATGTTTAAATGTATTATTGCACTGCTCTGAAAGGACAAACACCACCCGCACACCCTAACACTAAAACAAAACATTTTTAAACAACACAAACTAAAATGAAACAAACAAATCTACTCTGAAAAACGAAACAAAACTCATAAACTGATCTGATTAAACTTCAACTACGACTCAAAGCAAACTACTAGTGCACCTTCATCTATAAAGCCGGTGTGTAGCCGGTGTAGGCATGTAGGTGGGAAAACCGAGATTAGTGAGCGGTCACGCTACCTTTGGCTTTGGGGTATTTTTTGAGCTCCTGCTGCAGGGCATCCAGAGGGAACGGACACAGCTCCTCCACGCGGATGAGCGCTGTGTTCTGGTTGGCTGCTGATGTCTCCCTCTGTTTCAGCAGAGCATAGTAGTGCTTCCCAGAGCACAGCACCACCTTCTGGACACTGTGTGGAAAGAAAAAACACTGGATTGGGCTCAGGGTTTGGGCTACTTACATATGTGTTTTTATGGTTCTTTCAAAAATCTGAGCTCCTGCAGTTTCATTTAAACACACAGAAACAATCACACACCCACACTGCAGATTTAATATAACGTCTTCTCTACCTTTCTGCTGACACAGAAGTATCACCCAGCACTGGCCTAAAAGACGTTCCTGGTGCCATCTCAGTCAGACTGGACACGGCCCCCTGGGAAAACAGAATATGTCCTTCAAGCATCGAGATGGAAGCATCTCTGAGGAGCTGGATGTGTCAAATCTGTCCTAGAGACCGATTGGTGACTTCCTGGCAACCACTGGTCGCTAGGGGAAAAAAAAAATTATATTCCTGAACTGGTTGGCAAGTGGTTACTGGAGGCTGCTGGCTGTTGCTAGGTAAAATTGATTGCAAAGAGGGTGCTGCACAAAAACCCTCCTTGCGATTGCTTTGGTTGCTAGCAGACTGGTAGTTTCATGGAAGACTGCGAAGACTTAGCAAGTACTCGCCGAGCAGTAGTGAAACTCTGCTGCAGCCAACACCATTCAAAAGGTCCAGCTTTTACTTTGAAAAGTGCACGCAGAGTTTTGGTTTTGGGTGTTTTTTGGTGCAGCACCATATACCTGTTTGTGACCAACTTCATTTTGCATCTTTGTGTGATTGGAGCTTTAATAGTCGATTTCACTGCAACGGCCAGCAACCTTCAAATACCACCCGCAAAAACAGTCACAGAAATTTTCGCATTTTTCCCTAGTGACCGCTGTTTTCGAGGCATTTAAGCCCGGCTGAGCGCGGCCTAAAGTACTCACGGAAAATCTCAGCAGAGTCTTGGGTCCCACAACAACGAGAGGTTTGCGGAAGTTTCGAACCATCTGCCTCCGAAGCAGATGGAAGTACTGAGCGGAGGTGGTGGGGTTGACCACTGACATGTTCACAGTATCGCCGTCCACACCCTCCTCCTTACTGTCGCACATCTGCGAGACAAAAAGAGGAAAAGTTAACATTCATTTATATTTCAGGTAATGTGTAACTAAACATTAGCTTGAGTAGCTTCCACTCTTGTAAAGCTGTAACATGAATATGAATGATTTTTTTTTATACCTCACCTACCAAAGATGACACAAAGTAAGTGTTAAGTATGCAAAATTTCAATTTGGTGTTCAATAAATTGCACCTATTATCGAGGAAATGATTTTAGAAGCAGCCTCAATCCGATGCAATTTGTCTGCTGATTGCTTGCAGCCCATTAAGAAACATTATCGGTGATGATTTGCCATTGATCAAATCTGTACATAATGTGCTCCTGACTACACAGCCTTCCTCTGCACCGAAGAAACCATCTGTAACTTCACACAACAAGCTTTTCATTTAGATCCTACGGGCTATATTAATGTTTAAAATCTCACTTATAGAACCTTTAATTCTCATTACGTGGTTACCATTGTGTCTATTTAAATGATGGTATTATTCACGTATAAAGCTCTCTGCGTGACACTGCATTTGTTATTACAGTTCAACTCTACAAAGGCATGAGTGAAAAGATAATCTGTTTCCTGGCAGAGGTAAAAGATTAAACCTCCATGGAAACTATTCAGGTGTTTTTTTAATGTGTTGTCAAGCAACTGATGAATCTGCAGGATCTGAAATGATAGTCATGTCGTGACTGTTTCAGAACCAAAAGAGAGAAGTGGGATGTCTTTCTCCCATGTCTTTGACTTTAGCAGAGTTTAAGATTTTTTTATTACTGCAAAAGTTGTGTAATGGTTAGAGAATACTATGTGGTGAAATCTTTGCCCTATATCCGACTAACTTTGCTTTTCTCTGCAGCTGTTCGTTTGATTCATTTCAAACTTGGTGGGGTAAGTACAGTGCTGAAAACAAATAGTTATTACACAAAGATACCTGAACAACTACACACTACACTGAAGCACTTCTACCATTTTGGTAGTCACAAAAAAACTGTAACCCACAATCTGCTCATTACACACACACACACACACACACACACACACACACACACACACACGATATTATTATTGCCCTCGTTTCAAATCATCTTGCTTGCCCGTATACGACACATTTAAGGGATGTTTAAACTGTAGCTTTAACAAAATGGTTTCATAATCTCTGTGAACAGGCTCTGCACTAGTATGATACACTGACAGAGCACTTGTTTATCACAGTATAACACAAAGTCTGTTAAGCTTCAGGGATATCACTGTGCTGTTATGAATCATAAACCATTCTGAATCCATTTCAGCTGCTTTGGTGCAAACTGAAGTGATAACACTGTCCTCTCTTCATCCCTCCGGAGTGATGGCTACAGGCAAAATGGATTCACGATAGTTTATGCTGACTTTGTTTTTACTGTTAGGATCAAGTGTTTCTTTAATTTTGTTGGTGCAGTGCATAAGGAATTGGTTGCACATCGGTGTTATTCCTGATAGGAATTGTCAGGAAAAACGTGTTCTGTGTGTAGACAAATGAAAGAGTGGTTGGAATAATGTAATGAAGAGCACAGACATTCAGCCTGAATAAAAGGCTTCACCTGGGCCCTCATATGGCTAGTCCATCAAATCTGAGCTTAAGTAGCTTTAAGACTGTCATGTCTTTCTGTAATATTAAGTAGCAGGTTAAATAAACAATAGTGAAATTAAGTGATTGACACTGATATGACACGATTGCAGATTAGAAATACCGACACAGTCCTGACTCACTGACCTGGAAGAAGCGCTCCATACGGCAGGAGGAGTGTTCAGGTCCAGCGCCATCGTATCCATGAGGCAGCAGGATCACCATCCCACACTGCAGCAGCCACTTGGCTTCACCTGGAAACACGACAGTTTCACCTCTGATGAAATAATCTTTCTTTTTTTCTTTTTTTTTGACCAAGTTTATTAGAAAATGCGGCAGAGGGGTGAGAAGCTCACCTCCCGAGATGAAGGTGTCAAAGACAATCTGCGCTCCGTTAAAGAAATCTCCAAACTGAGCCTCCCAGATGGGCAGAAGCTTCGGCTGCGCGATGCTCATGCCGTATTCAAATCCGAGCACGGCCTCTTCAGACAGCGGGCTGTTACACACCTAAACACAAGACACCACAATTTGTTGTGTTTTTCATGTTGACACTGATGGTTTTATCTGCTTTGCGAGGGCATTACCTCCAGGAAACCTGTCTGCTCGGGGCTGATGTGATTCAGAGGGATGTACATGTCGTTAGTGTCCTGGCACACAACCATGGCATGCCGCTGACTGAATGTACCTCTTCCAACATCCTGTCCACTGATACGGATATTAAAACCTGCAGTGACAATAGCTCGAGTTTAAAGGAAACCCCAGGAATTCCCAAACTGGAAATGAGTCATTTTTACTCACTGCTAAAAACACCAGACAAAACGTGACAAACCTTGGCAGAGGAGAGAGCCGAAAGCGAGGGCCTCTGCTGTCGACCAGTCTAGTTTGGTTCCCTCTTCCAGTTTCTGCAGCCGGGCCTGAGTTTACAAAAGCAAAATAATTTAACTGCTGTGATGTTTGGACAAGGCAACGCGGCAGAAGGATTAGAAGCAAAAGATCCCGGTACCTGTACGTGGGTTTTTCCGAGGTGGCTGTGCAGCTGGATTTGCTCAGGGATATCCACAGATTTCACTCCCACAAACTGCAGCAGAGGAATGGGGACACCAGTGTCCCAGGTGGTGACTCTAGCCTGGGGTTCAACAAGATCCCCCCAGCGGCCCTGCAGGTTGGTGGGTGGAGGGCTGTACAGGGTCATGTTGGACAGCTTGTCGTTGAGCATGCTGTAGTATTTGGTTTTGATCTCGTCACGCTCAACTTCTGTCATCAGACCCTCTGAAATCAGCTGGTCTGAGTAGGCGTCTGGGATGCTCTTTCGAGACCTGCAAGGAGCAAACAGGAGATGATCTGATTATTACCCTGTATTCTTTTAAATCAGACGCCCGAGATGGGACCGGGTGCAGACTCGAGCTTTAATTCAAGGGGTTCGACAAAAGCATTGCATTAACTGTTTGGGTATTACAGCCACTTTCAGATGCTCAAAACGAACTGGGCAGTTGACTAAGATGTTTATTTGTCCAGGTTAGGCCTGTTTATTAGTTCATAACAAAGTAAATAAATAAAAATCTGAAAGTGATTCAAAGTATACAAATTGCATTTGTAAATTTTTCACTTGACTTATTATGATGTTAAAGGAGGTTCAAGGAGATGCTGATGTAAGTGAATTATTATTATCATTACGGGCTGAAAAATTCAAATAAACCAATGAGAGAGATCGCAAAAACCTTTGGAGTGATCAAATCAAAATCCTGGTTTGTTCTTAACAAGAATGGCTATGCTGGCCAGCTCAGAAACACTAAAAGCTCTGAAGACAACTAAAGTGGATGGAGACATAATTCTTTCCTTGGTTAAGAAGCAGCCCTCTGCAGCACAGAGCCGAGTCAAGAACACTCACACGGAGGTAGGCGTATAATTGTCAAGGTCTAGCCTTGATGAATGTAATTACAGAGGGTTTACAACAAGGTGAAAAAACACTCGTTACAAACACAACAAGGCCTGATTAGACTTTGCCAGAAAACATCTAAAAGAAGATCGCACTGATGGGAAAAAAAAAACTTTTTTTGGACCTTTAAGTGATGGGAAGAGGAAATTATGAAGGAGGAGGGACAGATACAGAGACGATGTAATGGTATGGGGATGTATGATCGCCAGCGAACAGGACCGTTTCTGTGTATTAAGTAGCAGGATGAATTATGTATTGTACACAGCTGTACTGTCTGCTTTAACCACATGCTGCAAAACTGATGAGACAGAACTCCACAGTGCAAATAGATAATAACACAAAGAATACTGCAAAAGAAAGCAAGAGCTTCTCAAGACAAAGAAATGGGATATGCTTAAAAAGCCAAGTCGGTCACCTGATCTCAGCACAAACCGCATGTTTTTCAGTTACTGAAGACAAAACTGAAGGCAGAGACCCACAAACAACAGCAACTGAAGGCAGCTGCAGTGAAGGCCTGGCTGAGCATCTCAGTGACGGAAACACATCACCTCATGCCCAAGGATTTTAATCCCAGTAGTTCAATATGATGTTTATTTGTCCAATTAACTGTGAGCTTCTCAAAATTGGGACTTGTCTATTATAATGCAATTCCTAAACTGTTAAACCCCTTGAATTAAATCACATATCGACCGATTTAAAATGTATTGAGGTGGTGTACAGAGGCAAAATTAAAACAAAATGCATAAAAGAACTGGCCCAAGAACTGCATCTTTAAAAAAACAAAACAAACCTAGCACCTTTTTTTCCACTCCCCATGTGATTAAACAACACTCTTGCATTCACTTTAATCTCTCTCTGGCAGTTAATGATTTCTCCTCTTTGTTGTTCTTCATCCATCTTCTCTTCCCCCTCATCCTCCTAACCAGTCACAGTGTATTGCTTCCCACTCCCTGGTCATGCTGGAGGTCGCTTCCTATTAAGAGAGTTCTTTCTCGCCACGGTCGCCAATTGCTTGCTTTTAGAGGCTCGGCTAATTGTTGCAGTTCTCTCTTTAATGTTGCAGGGTCTTTAACATCCAAAGCAACATACTAAAATGACTGTTGTTGTGAGTTTTTATAGTTTCAAAGCACTGTAGTGGTTTAATAGTTGAAACACTACAATTCAAGTTATGCTTGCCTTTCACACAGAAATAAAAATTCCACAATTACCCAAATACACCATTAAACATCAGCCATTGCTACACGAGTAGACCCATCATGTAAATGCATCAGTGCACCTACAAGAATAATTCAAATCAAACTATCAAATCAAATCAAAGTAAAAGCGATAGCTTTAACTAACCGGATGATCTTGTACATTGCCGGATTGGTGAAAAAAGGCTCGTCCAGCTCATTGTGGCCCCACTGACGGTAACAGATCAGGTCCAGGATGACATCTTTCCTGAAGTGCCGCTGGTAGTCGACAGCCAGGCGAGCGGCTCGCAGCACCTCCTCGGCATCATCTCCGTTTACATGGATCACGGCAGAGTTCACCATCTTACCTGTAGAAGAAATCGCCCATTACACACATGATGAAGGTACCACTTTACAAAGTAAAACTGCACTAACCCTGGCTAATTTAAAAGACCTCTCAGATATCCTATTTCACCGTGTGTATCATATTAGACGCATACATGAAAATAATCCATATTCGAAACCCTCATGAAACTGTTTGACTTAGGCCTCAGGCTGCATGCTACACTCATTTTTAGCCCCATTACTTTGGATTTTTGCATAGAAACAAATGAAGCATCGTGTAATGTGAAGTGTTTTTTTTAAACATTACTTTTTGGGCATTTTTGCCTTTATTGGATAGCGGAGCAGTGAAGACAGGCAGGTAGTTGCAAAGAGAGCAGAGGGCAGCAAAAGGCCACAGGTCACTCTCAAATACGGGCTGCTGAATTCTGTGGCCATGTGGTCACCCACTCGCCCACTGAGCTAAAGCAGCACCCCACTGATTCTTTTTCCTTCTCACCATTCATCTTATATGAAAACGTCAGGAGAAAAAAGTCTTTACTGGAAAGATTGCCTGACTAAAGCCTGCTATTTGATTAAGTTGAAACACAGTAGACACAATGTCAGGTCACAGGACATTTTGACATTCGCTGTACTAGGGCTGGGCGATATGACCCAAAATTCATATCTCGATATTTTTTAGCTGGATGGCGATATAAGATATATATCTCGATTTTTTTTTTAAAGCCATAAGTTAAGAACAAAAAGAGAGTTCTTAGTCACACTGTGTCCCAGATGTCACACGGGCACTTTTATTTACATACAGCGTAGATGTACATGAAGAAATTACTCAAAAATAAATTATCAGCATTTATTAAATAATCATGGTCCATAAATAAAAGAAAACAATGTTGTTTTTGTGCATAACAAAAAGCCCACAATTGTGCAGTCAAAATGTAAACTAGAAGACGCTGAGCGTAATAACAAAGACAGATTTCACAGCTGCACCACGTCTCTGAACAGGTGCCATTTGTGGTCCTTATACACACACAGTACGTATCACTCCGCGAGGCTCCTCTTCGGTAGCCGTAATCCTCCGACAATCCATCAAGCGGTGCAGCTCCGTAGCTTAGCAAAGTCATATTAAAACATTTTTTGACAGATTGCCGAGCGCTGTGTACCACATAAAATCGGTTCGCGGTCAGTAAGCACAACCAGAATTCATACATAAGGCGCACTGTCGATTTTTGAGAAAATGAAAGGATTTTAGGCCGTGCAGCCCCTCCTGGCTGCATGTCGTTAGCGCGGTTAGCTCGCTAACACGTTGACGCCGTCCAGCCCCACGCACGGGGCGATCCGCGGTAACTCGCTAACGGAGATTTTCCGCTTTCATCTTGTCATTGCCTGCAGGTGAAGCTATGGGGGAGGGGGAGTTGTGTTCAGTGAAGGAGAGGCGAGGCCGAGTAACGTTGCGTAGAGACAAAAGTGGACGAAAGAGAGGCAAACCTGCTGCTCCACAAGTATAATTATAACGTAACATAGACTATATCGATATAAACGATATTGTCACATCTTATATCTCGTATGAAAATATATCGATATTTTTAAAAAACTCGATATATCGCCCAGCCCTACGCTGTACCTCTAATTGACACTGGTCTTGGAAACACTGGGTTTAAATACTTTAGAATGAGCTCCAAAAACTTTGAAGCTGTGACATTTTAAAAGTTTATATTTAGTTAATCTGCAACTCTCCTCACACGCTTTTTATCTCATGTCCGCCTATTCTCAAAGTCTTTTTTTATACACACAAAGCGCTTTCAAATAAATGACTTGCTAATAACGTATTCTCTCTGTACACGGGAATACCGATGAGAAGCTTTCACTGACCAACATCACTGCAGTACAAAGACGATCGTCCTCTTTCCGACGGGGTGGTGTAGCCCACTTGGTTATTCACGATGAGGTGGATGCTCCCACCCACTCTGTAGTGAGGAAGATTTGAAAGGGTCAGAGTTTCAGGAACGATGCCTTGACCAGTGAACGAGCCGTCGCCGTGAATCTGTGAAGAAGGAAGAAAGAAGAAGTTATCTCATCGTACAAACGAACATCATCTAACAAATCCTGCTTTTTTTATACTGACCTGATTAGCTATGATTCTTTGGTGTGGTGTGTGTAGTCAACATGCAGAAAGTACAATTATAAAGTTTTAAAATATGTCATATTTGACCTCTGACCTCTCCTTCAAGGTCAACATAATGATCTGAAGGTCAAATTGATAGCAATGCTATACAGAGCTATTTAAAACTATTATTCTTACCACCAGTGTTTGTGTTGACAATAGAGCTGGGCGATATGAGATTTTTTCATATCACGATATGTTTTTTTCATTTCAGGCGATAACGATATCTATCACGATATAAGCCAAATAACTATATTTGTAAGATTTAAATGTGCCGTTGCTCACAAGTAAAATGTGAAATAATCAGCAGCTTGTTTTTATTTAAATATTTATTTCCCATAATAAGTTCAACAGGGTAGATGTACTTAAGGAACATGAGACTTTTTCAGATAAATAAAGGCAAATATTGCAAACTACACAAAAGGCAGCCGCTAAAGCGTTTAAGTTTCAAAACAGAACAAACGAAACAGACTAAATTGTCAATTCCACTTAGAAACAAAATATTAATTCTAAAAATAAATCTTAGTTTGTTTTACAGAAGAACAGACAAAACTGACTAACTTTTGTCAATATCAAATAAACTGAGAACTAAAAGGAAATTCTCAATCTCTCCTTGTTGTATAGCTTAGCTTTTCAAACAGTTTTAACAGTTACTTTAGTCTGACAAAAGCCGAATGACGAATTAGCGCTTCCAGTCAGAGACTGAGGCTACGTCCACACGTACACGGGTATTTTTGAAAACGGAGATTTTCCGTTTTCGTTTTAAAAAATAATCCCGTCCACACATAAAGGCAGAAATGAAGGAAAACGCTGCTATGAACATGCCAAAGCAGCAGGTGGCGCTAGATTCCTAACCGTGCCGAAATGCTGGCCAATCAGAAGTCTAGAAGCCTCGGTGGGAAAAAGTAAACAAAGCTGGGGCATAGAAGCAGAACCGAGTCGTATGTGTGGAGGGACAGTAACTGTGTGTATATGTAAGCATTTAAACACTGCAGAGAGTAGAAGTAACAGTATTGTAGAAATTCATTTCACCGAAACAATAACGTGGCGCACAGTGTGACGCATGCACCAGTTTATTGTATTTCCAGACTTGCTTTCGGCACAATTTACAGTGCGCGCTACTCTGTTTTTTGTCAGACTTGAAATAGCCGAAATACCTTCACACTACGGAACTTCTATGGCTCTTCCGTTCGACAATCTCTCCGGCATTGGAACCATCATCTGTTTTCTCTTCGGTCACGCTCGGTTGATTTTTCTAGTCGGCACACTCATTTCCTCCATTACGCGCTGGCTCCATTACCCGCTGGCTGCCTCCCAAACAAACACACGTGCGGCTTGGCACTTGTGCTGTACGTAACAAGTCACGCGACGTGACGCTGCGGCTGTGATTGGTTCGGCTCTGCGCTACTTAGTTTGGATTGGCTGTTCTTTTTATTTTTTATTTTATTTTAAGAGGACAAGAGCGGCGAGGTCTATCGCGATAGCTTAATTTCTCTATCGAGTAAAAGTTATATCGCGATACATATCGTTATCGTTCTATCGCCCAGCTCTAGTTGACAACATATAGGCATTTATGGAAAGGGGATATGGGGATTCTAAATATTGCATTATAGTTATAGCAACCAAATATCATGTCCCATTTGACCTCTGACCTCCCTTTTACATTTCACATCTGTCTTTCTTTCAAGGTGACCCCAAAAAGCACTTTACCTTCAAAGAAAATGTTTTGAAGAGGAAGAGAATGAGCTTCCTGGTTGGTTAGTTAGTATAACATTATATAATAAGCACAAGTTAAAGTTGTGATGTCTGTAAGTCACAATATTAACATGAGGTAGAGCGAATAAATGTAAAATTGTCAAATTAAAAGTAATAATTGTTCTTCATTAATTCATTAAAGCATACAGTGATTTCTTAAGCATTTTGGAAGGGAGATGGAATCTTTTTCAGCACACAGAAGTAAAACACTTTTTTATTTGTTCCAATAGAGCTATTTGTGTTCGTTTATGAAATTCCACACTAACAGACTCATCACTTTTTCTAGCAAGTTCTAAAATATGTCCTCACGCGTGCGTGCAGCTGTGATACCTGCAGACAGATGACTTGGTCCCCAGGTTGGGCGTCGTCTTCGGGCGAGTAGTCCCCTTCTTTCCGGAGCTGCTGCCTGGCTCTGGTTTTGCCCTGAGCCACGGGGTTGATGGCCTCAAGGTGAGATGGGTTGGGCAGCATGGTGACATGAAGGGGGTGTTTGGCTCTGAAATCTAACTCCACCGAAGAGGTGAGGTGGGAGAGGACGTCACCGATGGCCGGCGAGGTGTCGGGGAACTCGCTGAGGCCGCGCATCTTACGGAACATAAGCTGGAGAGAAAAATGAGGGAAGCACAGCGTTATCCGAGACCGTCTCGCTTTTGTTTGTCGTGGCGAACAAAAGCTGTTCAGTGATGTTAAAGAAAATAAAAGATAATCTTGAATACCGTGACTAAAATGCAGTATACGGGTCAGATTAAATATCCAAACCTCAGGTGGGAACTTGAGCAGGCCTGTCAGGAGGTTGAGTCGGCCTCGGTGAGGCATGCCGATCACAATGTCAGTGACTCCACTGTGGGCAGACCGGTGGAAGAGCTCAAAGAAAAACCCCATCATGCTCTCTGCTCCCTCTCCTCCATAACGCTTCACAGTAGCAAACTTGGTGGCCAGAAAGTGGTCGAATTCCTGCAGGTCGAAAGAGGAATATTATGAAGTGGATGTCATTGAGATCACGTGCTACAATTCTTTTTTATTACTCTTCTGAAACCTGCCTGCGACTCTAGCATGATCTTGGCCAGCTGCCTTCTCTCCTCTGGAGAGAAATTCTCTCTCTTAAGCTCCTCGAAGCGGTCAGCGAACCACTCCCTCTCATCCAGACTGCTCAGCTGGTCGGGCTCCACTGACAGGTGGCCACAGTAGGCTTCTTCCAGGTAGGCCTGAACCTCTTCCACAGAAGCCTGCGCTTTCCCAAAGTGCCGCAAACCTGCAGAATCACATGTAACGAGTAAAGCAAGCAACACCTACCTGTGAATTGTAAGGGTGGGGGAGGGTCACAGAACAAAATCAGCCCTAATATGTATTTTTTTAGTGTTCTGTATTCACAGATGAATAAACACTGTATATTTCACAAATGATATGAAGCTAGATAACATGCTAGAAAGCAATGAGAACTAGGGCTGGGCTATATCATACCGTTCACTGGTGTAATTTTGGGCAACGATAGGAAAATGAAATATCGCGATAGAATATCGGTAAAACGCGCATGCGCAGTGCCTATATTTACATACGCACATGATGGCGACGCAGAATGAGGAGAGCGAAAGTGGATTCTTGAATGACACAGATGAACCAGAATTGGTTTGTAAAAATGCTGCAACTTCAGTGGTGTGGCACTGGTTTAGCTTTCGTCCGTCAGATACACAACAAAGCACTATTTTTGGTACAGCATGCTAGCAGGCCGTCGTTATTACCGTGTTGTTTGGAAACACTTAAAATCAATCCTTTGATTTTTCTGAAAATCGACAGTGCCCCTTATAATCCCGTGTGCCTTATGTATGAATTCTGGTTGTGTTTACTGACCTCCAAACGATTTTATGTCGTACACGGCGCTCGAAAATCTGTCCAATGTTTTAGTACGACTTTGCTAAACTACGAAGCCGCACCGCTTGATGGATTGTAGGAGCATTAGGGCTATCGTGGGCCTCGCGGAGTGATACGTACTGTGCTTCAACATAATATACACACACAATAGGTAATAACCTCTTTTTAAGTTTTGTGGATATTATACATGGTTATGCTGAGGACATGTCGGCCAATTTCCACTGGAAATGCCGTTTGGTTAAACTGTCAGCAAGGAATTTGCACTGTTACATTTTTATATAACTTTAATGCACATAAAAAACAGCTGCTTGTTTAAGTGAAAATACATTGATGGGGTTTTTTGCACTAATAAAGTTGTGGAGTCGTAAAGCATTTTGTCTAGTGTCAATTATATCGTCAGTTATATCGTTATCGCAAATTTTCAAATGTATATTGTGATAAATATTTTTGGTCATATCGCCCTGCTCTAATGAGAACAAACTACATTTTAATAATAAAACTTGCATACTTTAAAATTTTACAGGGTTTTTTTCCAGGACTTTAACCTGCAATCATTTTACTCTGACTTTACACTTTTAAACCAAGAATCGAAATTCTCAAATGTTGCATAAAATGTAAATAAAACAGAATGCACCTGTTTACAAATCGAATCCTAAGACTTAACAAGGTAACGACAAGCTGCTGTTACCGTGAATTACTGCGACTAGTCTGATCCATTGACACGCATCACTAGCACATAAGAACATGGGTGATGATTGAGTGCAGTGGGTCACATGGTCACGTTCCCTCCCTGTAAGCCTGTGATCAGATGGGGTCTGTCCAGTCCAGCGCTTGTTGTTGTAACCAGTTCAGATCTAGACCTTTCAGCATGTGGCTCTAATAATATGGTTATCCTGGATGAAGAGGACGGTCCTTCAAGTAAGCAACACAAGACAGTTAAGGAAGCTGAATGTGTAAGTAAAAGTGGAACTATGTCTGCTGTAACGGTTTCCTTTAGGGATTTGATTTTTTAACGGTTATATACACTCACACGCCGCTTTAACAGGTACAGCCAAGGTTTTTATCATTAACGAAAACTAACGAAATAACGAAAACTAGAAGTGAAAAAACATTTTCGTTAACGGAAATAAAAATAAAAACAAAAAAAGGAAAACTAACTAAAACTGTAATGAGTGTTCACAAAACTAAAAATTAACTGAATTTATAGCAAAAATGTGTTTAGTTTTCATTGATGTGTGCGTGTCATACAATAGTCAAGGGTGAAAATGAAGTTTAGTTTCCAGATTTTTTGCTTGCTGTCTCATTATGCCAGCAGGTGGCCAGTACGTTAGTCGAGTCGTCTGTGTTGCTGCTCCATCCACGCGCAGAATCATGTCAGGAAAAGTCGGGAGAAAGCGCCAGAGTCCAATAGAGATTGAAAATGTGACGTCGCTCAGGGGTAAAACCGCAAAGAATTCTGGGAACTCGTGGCAAGAGGTACTAGCGCACGCAGGCTTTCAATTGAAATCAGTTATACAGCGATAAAAAGAAACAAGAAATGGCAAGAAGCTGTTGTATTACAGTTTTTCTCAAATGTTAAAACACAAAAGCCAATCCTGTAACCCAAATGACCAGTAGTCTAAACACATTTACTAAATGTAGCCACCATATTCCAGTACCATAAACACATGTCACATGAAGACACAATTCACAAAACACAACCCTCTGTACTCATAAATCTAAACACATTTTTCCTTGCTAAAACACATGTTGCAAAACAACTCTGCTCATATTCTCAAATGAAAGCCCATGTGATGCAAAATGCTTGCCACAGTCACCAATCTTTGAACACAGGGAACACACCTGGCGTCAGTCACTACACACAACGACTCAAAATTGAAGACACCTGTTGCTAATGATGTGACCCCACCTATAAAAGCATAGTTTGGTGAAGATGCCAAACAATCACAATGGATGAAGGCATTCGAGCGTGCGGAAGGAGAAGAGCTGCAGGCCAAAGAGGAAGAGGGGTTGAGATCAGAGGAGGAAGAGGTGAAGGCCTAAGAAGAAGAGGAGTTCGGAGTAGAGGAGGAAGAGGAGGCGGCCAACAAGAGAGAGGAGAAGGTCCAGGTGGGAGAAGAAGACAACCTCGCACCATCATAACAGATGATATGCGAGCAACAGTAATTGATCATGTCATTGTCCATGGCATGACAATGGCTGAAGCGGGACGAAGAGTACATCCAAACCTGAGTAGGTTCACCGTGGCCACCATTATCAAGGCATTTAGACAACACAACAGGTGTAGTACGCTATTGCTTTCTTTGTCACACTACAGTTTTACAGGCCTGTGAAAGTGGTCTGTTACTTTACATGTAGTTTTACATATAAATCAGTCAATTGACAACACATGTTTCTTTCTTTAGAGCTGAAAGAATGCCACATAGAGGTGGGAGGGTTGCCATATTCACAGCGGCACAAGAAACCCTCATTGCAGATATGGTCCGTGAGAACAACTGCATTAGACTCCGAGAGATCAGAGACAAAGTCATTGCAGATAATGTAAACTTTGAGAACATTGATGCTGTCAGCGTGTCCACAATAGACCGAGTTCTCAGGCGCCAACAGATGAGGATGAAACAGGTCTACAGGGTTCCCTTTGAGCGCAACTCTGCGCGACACATAGAACAACGTTACGAGTATGTGCAAGTACGTATACATCCATGTCCACAGTACAGTTAGTGGACATACTGTGTTGCTTAGTGGCCTACATTACTTCTGGACAATACTGTGCTACCTGATTGACCGTTCTGAACACCTGTACGCTTTTCCATGTTCACAGAGGATAATGCAGTTGGACGCGATGGCCAGACCCTATGAGTACCTCTTCCTGGATGAGGCTGGCTTCAACCTCCAGAAACGAAGGCGAAGAGGCCGTAACATCATTGGCCAAAGAGCCATCACTGAGGTTCCTGGCCAACTCTTTGTGCAGCTATGGGTACGGAGGGGCTTGTCCACCGGCATGCTGTCCTTGGGTCTTACAACACCCAACGTCTCCTCACCTTCCTAGAGGAGCTAAAAGACATCCTCCTGGACCGTCAACAACACCATCCTAGGCTAGCACATCACATGTATGTGATCATTTGGGACAACGCCCGCTTCCACAAAACACACCAAATCAGAGAGTGGTTCACCACCAACAGTGACCACTTTTTAAACGTCTGTCTGCCACCCTACTCCCCTTTCCTGAACCCTATAGAGGAGTTCTTCTCATCATGGAGATGGAAGGTGTATGACAGACAGCCATACACAAGAGAGAACCTCGTACGGGCAATGGAGCTGGCCTGTGCTGACATCCCAGTGGAGGCCTTCCAGGGATGGATTCGCCATTCCAGGGCGTTTTTCCCACGGTGCCTAGCAAGGGACAATATAGCCTGTGATGTGGATGAGGTGATGTGGCCCAATGCAGCTCGGCAACATGATGCCGCACAGTGACTGTGTGTAATACTGTAAAAAGACCGTGTAGACAATAAAAAAGACTTCACACCCTGATCATGTTTCCGAGAGTACTGTTGTGTGCGATAGATTCTGTTTTTGCATTGAGTTGTGTTACAGTAGTGTACGTACATGCAGGATGTTTTTATAGATTTATAGTCTTCATGTGAAACTCACAAATCTAAATGCCTAATCCTCTGCAGGGTTCTATGACGATCCGTTACTGTACAGTTTATAAAAATATGCATTGGCAGTTATGAACCAAAGAACCTTCTCACAAATTGAGCATTGTGTTTTCAATTGTTTTGCTGTAGTGTGTAATGCTGTGTATAGTTTTGACAGCTTCGAGCTGCTCTCTTGGTGTGGGAGTTTGAGTTTTGCAGTGGGAAGGTGTGGTTGTGTTTATGTAGCTTTAGAGAAGGGTGTTGTGTTTGGACATTGGGGGACCTGGTGGTAACGTTTGTGACATGTGTTTTAGCATTTGAGAAAAACTGTATTAACTGCAATAGCCGGTCGCATGACAGCCACGGGAAGCCGACGAGTAAAGAGATCGGTTGTTATCGGATTACGTCGTTGAAGAGAAATTGTTCGAGCCATGTTTCCGAAGTAACAAAGAGGCGACTGGATTGCAGCCATTCAAAGACCAAATATAACGTCCCAGAACAATCCAGCTCACAGGTTAGTCTGCTCCAAGCATTTCCACAAAGGTCAGTCTGCTGTTGTAGTTAATGCGTCATTTTTCTTAACATAATTGGTGATATAGGTTACAAGCAAGTCTGGCGCTGAACAGAAATTGTCGCGCTATGCTCCTTTGTTTATTGTGCATAAATAGTGAATTGTCCTGACACAATATTGCGTTTCGCTTCTGTTATTATGGTACATTGACAAAAACATATACTTTTATTCACAGGATAAAACAGTTGTATTGTATCACTAATTGTCCAGTACGATTACAGCATCCAATATTATTGTCACTGCTACATTTCTGTGATGCGTACCAGAAATTATTTGTACTACTAATTAATTACCGTTGAGCTCAAAGGTCCTATTAATAAACGGTTAACGAATGTGTATTTATGAAGACGATTTGTGAGACTGGTAAACTTATGATATGTACGATGGTCTTTACTTTCTACACGGTGCATTTCAAAGTCCTGCACCCATCCGTCGGTAAACTGTACCTGGGCTTGTTGCAGTGACCTGAAGTTACTAAACTTCAAGAACCGTATAATTATAAATATGAGCGTGGTGAAAGTTGGGCAGCACGCTAACGTATTTTGTCCCTCTGTGTGCTCGTAAGGGTCTAACCCTTTCACTGGTTTGATTTTTTTCCTCGTATCTTTTCTTTGACTTTTCATTAAGTCTGTCTTTGTATGGACTGGCATTGTTCTCCTTCGTTTTGTACATACCTTTTTGGGGGGCAAAGAAAAAGCAAGAATTTATTGGAACCGAAGAATGAACGTTTTGCGGTGCTGCAAATGCTTGCATTTGATGCAGGTACTTGGATTGTTTTGCCACGAGTTACCGGCATGCAATGCGCGAAAGTCACGTGGTCTGTCAATCTCTATTTGGGATTACTTTGAATATGACTGTGTTTTGAATAAAGCAAGTGTCTTGTAGTGGAAAGAGACAAATTATGAGGGACATTTCTAAAGGGAAAAAATCCCACAAACCTTAAAGTGCACTTGAAAAGCTCACACAAGAAGGCTAACCTAGCTTACCTTGAGAAGGTAAGGGAGCACACTCAACCCTCATCCCCAGAAAACAGAAGCTAACCCCAGGCAAGGCAGCGTGATGCATCCCGAGACAACAGGACTGGGGTATCTACATAACTGTTTGAGTAAATTGCCTTCAAAAAGTTTATCAATTCACTTGAACCAAAATTACGAACACCCAGTGCTGCGAGAGTTAATAGTCTCATTGGGGCCAAGATATACATTTTATAGTTGCCTGGTATCAATGGTTGTTCATCTGCCTTCATTTATTTATTTAAAGAACCCATAGGTGGGACCCTGCGTTAGCCCTGCGACAGACAGGCGACCTGTGCAGGGTATGGTAGCTGGAATAGCAACATACCCAAGGATAAGCAGAAGAGAATGACTGATATGATGAAACTGGGATTTTGTTACACTTAATTATTGCAAACACAACTAAAACTATAACTGAAACTAATCAAAACTAAACTGAAACTAAGGACTTTCAAAAAAATAAAAAACTAAACTAGCAAACAATTGGTAAAAACTAATTAAAACTGATATAAAATTGAAAATCTGAAGTCAAAACTAAATAAAAAATAAAAACTAATGAAAATTGCAAAACTATTAAAACCCTGGGTACAGCTGCTTGTTAATGAAAATATTTAACAGGCCAGTGACATCACAGCAAGATGACCAGCTCAGGTGTAAACAGCCTGGAATAAAGAGCCATCCTGCCTTGCCCAAGTATTAGTGCTGACCACGTCCTTTTATGAGCGCCGTGTAGACGTCTTCTGATGGCTCGTTGTGACTGGACAGCACACCATGTCAAAGTTAAAAAAACAAAACAAAAAACGTTTTGTGTTCAATGGATCAAATTTTGCTTCTTTACATAAGCCTGTAGAGAACTTTTAAATTTTAACCTCATAATTAGGCGTAATAATGGTGCAGTAACAGATGCAACCGCTCAAATTTTGCATAACAAAACATAAAAACAACTTTATGTGCATGAACCTTAAAGAGTTCATGCTTTAGCATTAAGTCATGGATAAAATGGTGTGTGTCGTTTTGTTTTCTCCCCTACAGCCATTTTTGGACTCCTCACTTTCAGAGACAACTGATGATCAACCAGGTGTTGCGCAAGAATGGCACATGCTAACAAGTAAGTACAAGTTGTGTTGAACACAGAGTTCTCAGTTAAACATCAAAACTGGAGTGCAGCAAATACTGGGATGGGCAGGATTTCATAATGAAAGGCAAACGCCATATAAGTTTAACACTTTTTAAACAGCAAAAAGTAGAGAGTTGGACGTGATTAACACTTAAAAACTCAGAGTGAAATGACATTGTGGGTGTTATTTTTCCCCCTCATAGTTTAAAAAAGGTAAACAAGTGTGAGTATGCTAACTTCAGGTGCATGCTTTCTGCAGGATTCCTTTACCTGAGGTGTTGAGTTGTCCACTCATGGTGCCAGTCAGCATGCTAATCTCCGGGACACTGTCAACGACAGGCTTTTGGGGTAGCAAAGGGTTAATTTTAGCAGCCTTGTGTCCGTGAGCTCTGTATGCCTCCACCAGTCTAGCTAGAGCATGATCTGAACACAAGAGAAGAGAACAACGCGTGACAGCGAGCTCACATTAAATAAATGACGCGTTCACTGCACAGCAGTTAACAGCTACAACAGCTTCCAGAGTCAACGATAGGCCACCTAAACAGAATATCATTCAAACTCGTATAAAAATACCGCGGAATAAAATAACCCCACAAACAAGCGTTAATGCAACTGTCTTTGCGGAGCCTCTATGTTAAACGACGGTAACTTAAGGGGACCGTACTGCAATTTAACTCCATACTGACCTTGATTTAGTGCAGCCACCCGCTCGCTCTGCCACTTCTGGTCCCGCTCGGTGCTCTTGGGTCGGTACCCGTAAACACCTCTCTCGGTGTGATAACTGCAGCCGACAACCTGCCGAGCGACGCTCTGCGGCAGTCTGCTCAGCGAGCTTTTCAGCAAAATCAAGGCCGACATGTTTCCAGGTCTTTAGTCTCGCATGAGATAGCGGCACACATCTGAGAACAGGCTACAGGACGGCAGCCATACTGCCCGGAGGAGGGACACGTTAATGGGAGGAGATGTCGCATCGGCAGGCGATTGGCTGAAGCTTATCTGGTCGATATTTAAGTCGAGTAAATGGTATTTAATTTTACTTAAACACAAGGTTTGAATCTGTAGGGCACGAGGTTACATTTTTACATTTCGGGCCAGCGCTATGTTGTCTTTAAGATGGCTAAAAATCTCAGAAGCAAGTGAAGTAGCGCAACAGGTGTCCAAGCGACGACGATGTGCTGAGTTCAGGGACTTCTTAAAACATCGTAATTACCACTGGAGAGCAAGATTATTATAATTAACTGAAACTGAACTTAAAATTTATAAAAGCATGCATTTAAGGCATGAAAAACACTTTGAAATAACTAAAAAGAAAGAAAGAAAATAGGTGTGGGGAAAAAAATCAACAAAAACGTTTTATTTTTTTTAAAATACATTTTATTTTTAATTTTTTTTTTTCTCTTTTGCGGGAAAAATACTTACAAAACGACTTAAAACAAAATATAGAAGACTTGCTGGGTTTTTTCAGTCGAATTTGTCACCACACCACGTGAAAAAAAGTTGTTTCATATATTTACAGACTGGAAGGTCTATAATGTTCTAACTCAGAAAAAATAAAAAGTGCATTTTTAAATCGCTGTTCTAACCTTCTTAAATATCCCATGACAAATATTTAACCATAAAATTATTTAAAAACACCAACACTAAAACTAAAAATATTAACTGGTAAAATCAAACTGTTGCTACATTTTATTTTTTTAAATATGCTGAGGCTGTTCTGAGGTCAAATGAATGAAAATGGTGGTTTTGGGGAATTGGGGGATTTTGAAACGGTGAGACAGTATGCCATGTCTGTGTGTTTTAAGGGCCAGTGGTGACAGAGATCAAGGTGAGCCTTGACGCTGTAACAATAGATGCCTGTGCTCCCACCATATGCCCAGACTCCCACACCTGCTGGTCTTTCATGGATCATGTAGGAATCTCCAAACAATGAAACAGCACCCGAACTCCCATTTCAGTGAGTGCATGAAACACATGCACAAGTCCCACACACAGGTTTCCTGCACCGAGCAGTTTGTAACAGGCAACTTTTGATGTTTTGTGTTAATTAATGTTAAATTAATAATGGCTAATAAGGACTGATCAACCATTCATTAGTCCAGGACACAAACTTCAGGATCTTCCACATAAACTGTGATCAGATTTAAAGATCCCAGAGCTCTGGAGTTTAATAACAGTGCATTTTATACACAGCCTAAATTTTTCACCAGCACTATCAGATTATTCGAACAGCTCATAGACCTGGTTTACTTTACAACAGAAGAACCAACATTTTCTGATAGCTGAAGCGCAACCAAAGCACGATTGAAAATGTAAAGTTTAATTGCAAAGTGTTAAGCTTATTAAATTTTCCCTTATGTTCTGTATTAATCCAAAATGCCAAAGCATCTTTATGTATCGTCTCACTGCCTGCCATTTTCTGCAGAGGGATCTCCACCACTGGGTGGCGCTATTGTACTACCTTAAGTTCCACTTTTAAACTCCTCAGAAGTTCATGGTTAAATAGAAAAGACCTTTGCTACACTGTACAGAAAGTGCTTTCCTAAGTCACATAACGTCTCAGCACTGTGACGTGTCACATCCTACTTCCTTACATCCTGTGTGTTTGATGACTGAGAACATGGAAACGCCTGTACATGGGAAAAGATGCCAGTTTCTCCTCTCACACCATTTTCGCAACAGAACAAGTTGGATCTTGAGGTTCTTTGTATGCCTTTAGATTGCTAATGTAATGCTGCTAAATCCACTCCCTAACACTCTGGGAAATAAACGTGTCCTGTTACTAAAGGAGGATTTAAGATGTGACCTTTTATAGATTTGGGGGAAATCTTAGAGATGAGACTTTTTAAGAAACAATAGCTTTGGTCTGTGGTCAATTCTTGTTTATATTTACTAAAAGGAGATACATTCTAGAAAAAAGTCAGTATGTTTTAACTTAGCCTCAGGTATTTGTCTTCTCAACTACCAGAACATACCAGGAAACAGGAAAATTCCATGGGTTCATCTTCAAATTGGATATTTTGTCCAATAGAACACCAAATCACATACTATTGTTGGTCACTTGATTAGGTACACCTTGCCACTACCAGGCTGGACCCCCATTTGATTTCGGAGCAGTCTCAGTACAACAATAGACTTGACTTAAGTTGCTGGAAACATTCCTCAGAGATTTTGGTCCATGTTAGCACCACATTGTGCAGCTGCTGAACTTTCATGATGCCAAGCACCTGTTCCATGACATCAAAAAGGAGTTGTGCCAGAATGAGATCTGGAATCTGTAGAGGTTATTTAAGCACAGTGAACATCAGCAAAAAATAAATAAGGTCTGAAGTGTGCCAAGAAAATATTCCCTACATAATTACACCAACTGTAGCAGCAGCCTGAATTGTTCATAAGAGGGGAAGAAGACATCTATGCTTTTAAATGTTTATGTTAAGTTCCGACCCTACCATCTGAATGTTGCAGCAGAAATTAAGACATACCAGGCAACATTTTTTCCAGTCTTTTATTGTCCATTTCTGGACAATCAGCTTCTGTTCTTAGCTAACAGGACTGGGCCTTGGTAGGGTCTTCTGTAGCAGCCCCATCTGCTTTAAGGTTTGACGTGTTGTGCATTCAGAGATGCTCTTCTGCATACCTTTGTTCTAACAGGCGGGTGAACTACAGTTGCCTTCCCTTCATTGCAGTCTGGAAATTCTCCAATGCAGTTTCACCCAGGGAACTGCCTCTCAATGGATAGTCTATTTTGTGGACCACTCTTGGTAAACACTGGACATGTTTGTGTGGAGAGAAAGTATATTCATTTCAAATCAATATAAAAGCAGAGCAGCAAATAACCCTCTTTGGAGAACCTGTAAAAGAGGGGACAAAACTAGATTTGCATTTATCTCAGGCAAACTGCTTCAGATCTTTGCTTTTAAGAACTGAGCTCATTGATGTTCTGCAATTGTGCATTTTTAAAAATTATAATAAAACAATCAGTTTAACGGGACTTGCTCATTCTTTATACCACAACATCTGAGTTTGAACTGATGTTTTGTGCAAATGCAACTAAAGTGCCTGCATTTCTTTGGCTCTTGGGTGCAGGGTCACAGATCAGTAGTACTTTTACCGATAAAACCCAATACAATACGGCTCGTCCTGCCCACCCCACCTGTTACAGCTCAGGTAAAAGCAGAAAGAAGCGCAACAAAGAGAACAAGTTAGTGAGACATGACACACTGGGGAAGGGTGGGTGGAGGTTTGTACAATGCCTTTACAACACTGGACAAGCACAACACACAAAGACACACAGTCCATATTAGGGGAAATGGTTTAATTCGGAGACAGAGGCAAAGAAACACACCACACAAACAAACATCGACCCAAAAAAAAGAAAAAAAAACAGAACAGTCTTTCAGCTACGCACTCCACTATGGGAAAGAACAAAACTACACACAGGTAAAAAGCAAGGCTCAAATTAAACAGTTACCTTTTCAACTAAGACAATTATCCACACAAGTTGTCAAAAATCCTGATGACCATTAAAGTATGTGGACAGCACAAATATACTAACATGAAACTTACCACAATTTAGAGGATCCTAACCCCACCCCCTCCCCTGAAACTGATTCATGAAGTGAGGGACACAGAGATCCAAGGGGGATAAAGAAGATCAAAAATCAGGCATCATTTAGTGGCAAAAGCAAGAGAGAAGAAGAAGAAAAAAAATTGCTTGACACCAGCAAGAGGCCAGACTCAAGACCTGGTCAAGGCAAGGCCACATTGATAGGCCAGACAATTTTTTATTTTTTTTCCCCTCCCCCAATATAGATTTTTTTTTTCCTTTAATTTCCAATATAAAAAGCTTCACGGGTACAAAATACATATGAACCACCAGTTGTAGAAATTGGACAGCCTGTGTATGTCTTTTTTTGTCTTTTTCAAATCCCACCCAGTTTCAAAAATTTGTAATTGAACAGAACGAAAAATATATATTTATATATAACTGTACTGTGTGTATAATACAGATTACATCAAGATGCACTCACTTTGGCTTTCATCAAGACAAGACAAAAAACATCTATTAAATTATTGGTGGAACATGAACAGAGTCCTACCGATTATCAGACAAGAAAAATAACAAAGTTTTTCTCTACTCTTTTTCTTATAGATCAAGACGATATCTATAGAGATGCAAAGCTACCACACTGTCAAAAAAAAAAAAAAAGAAAAAAAAAAAAAAAAGCACTTCAGAATATGAAAACCAACAGAAGAAACCGTGATTGTTAGAACTTAATCAGGATTTGTGATGGAAGCCCCTGAAGTGAGTAGAGTTCCTGTTGGGACTGCTGTGGACTATACATTGTGCTTTATTCCCCCCCTTTAAGTGTTTTAAACTATATTCACTCATAGTAACACTTCACCATGCACTGCATCACCACAGACCTGCAGTCATTTCAGTGGCCGACACATGGCACCCACACTGACTCTTCTGCACTGTACCTGTTTTATTAAATTCAAAAATATCCCACCACCACCAAAACACGCGTGATCCCCCACGGTTTGTATCGCCAAGTGTCACACGCGCTCGCACTCACTAAGAAAGACGTTTAACCTTCAAATGTATAGGGAAGTTTATTGTTTATCTACAAGGTTTTAAACCAACTGTTCAAATTGAGTACATCACAATACACATTTACCAATAACTCAACACAGTAAAGGCAAAGGGGAGACATTAGCAGGTGACAAGAGCTTTCATGACACTGGCATAAATAGACCCAAAAGAAAAAAAAAACAAACCCAAAACAAAATAGAAAGGCGAACTGCAGCAATCTCTAAACCAAGGCCTAATAATGTGTAGGCAGTTTCTAGACGTATATATGGCACTTTGAATATTGTATTGCATTTGGATAGAAAACAAAACAAAAATACTGTAAAAAGCACATGCCCATATTAAAAGAGAAATCAGTGGTACCTTGGAAAAATTTGGGATTGTAACCACACATACACACGACATTCTGCAAAAGTGATTAGCTCCCACAATTGTGCTTAACATCTCCTTACAAAACTATAACACCCCCTCCCCCCGCACCGGTTCAAATTTGGTACCTTCCTTTTGTTTAGGAATATTTAAGTTTAGAGTAAAAGGGGAAAAATCCCAACTGAAAAGAAAGTCAAATGGTGGTTAACAGTGCATTTTGTGTGGTAATCCTGCGTCAGTGTCTAGTTTCCCCCCCCCACAAGCACACACCCACACACCAAAAAAAAAAAAAAAAAAAAAAAAGAAAGAAAAGAAAGAAACAGAGCCCTGAGCTGACAACTCTTTAGCGCCATCAGGTACGCAGTTTTAGGGAACCCTTTCTTTGGGGGAAGGGGAGGGTGAAGTGGTAGTTTTACCAGGGTCGTCACACAAAAATGCCACCCTGATAAAAAAGTGTAAACTTTCGTGCTGAGAAAAATGGAATGTTATTTGTAAACCAACACTACTGTGGTGGATTAAGTCGATTTAATGTGCTGTGTGACTTCTTGAGCATCACACGAGTGCATGTTTTTAAAAGAAAGAGGAAAGAAAAACAAAACGTGCAGAGACCCACAGGTTGCGTGTTGTGTCCGAGTTCTCTCCTCTTCAGGGGCTCCCACATTTGCAACCACGAAAGAGTGTTTGTGTGTGTTTGCATGTGTTGCAGCGTGTGTGTGTGTGTGTGTGTGTGTGTACAGACAAACTAGGTAATATTACAGCAAACAAAGTGGTGAGTTTATTAAAAAAAAAAAAAAAAAAAAAAAAAAAGGCAAAAAAAAAAAAAAGCACAAGAAATATTTGACACATGGGCACTTCAACAACAAAATCCAAGAGAACAACATTGTCTGGCATCTGTATGATTAACAGACATTGTAAATCATCTCTCAATGAGGCATCCAAACAAAAGCAAAGTGAAAATTCATTAATTAAATTAGCAAAGAGAAATTCACAGAAAGTTGACAAGATGTACGTACCATGGAAGTTTAGCAGGGATATTAAAAAAAAAAAAAAAAGGGGGGGGGGGGGGGGGGGGGGGGAAGGCTCAAAATATGACCCTTAAAAAAAAAAAAAAAAAAAGGAAAAAAAAAAAGAAAAAAAAAGAAAAAAAGAATTTAAACCAGAAAACAAAATTACAATTAAAGCAGAGGAATTTTGAACTTTTTAATTTACTAGAAATGACCCTCAAATGGTCATGCTGATCAAACAGATTTTTAGTCCTCTTTAAAAATGTAGTACACTGAAGACCCTCCCGCCCCTGCCCCCCCTCCCTGCCCAAACACAGATGACATTACAACGTAATCTACAAAAAACCCAACGTTTGCCTGGGTTCTGTTAGTTAAACTTCTATAGATTCAATGGTATAAAATATAGTTAATCTAAGTGTGCATTTAAACCACAGATTGTCTATTTGTGAATCAGTTCTAAAAAAGTTGACTCATGTAGGTAGTCATTTCTCTCAACAGAGCAATGTACCTTTTATTGTGCCATCAATAGTTCAAAAACAAAAAACCCAAAAAGAAATCAAAGAAAAAGAAAAACACTGGATATTTTTATAAATGAATTTTTCTTTTTCTTTTTTTAAATAGCCTTGGTGTAAGTCTTCACGCTGCCTGCAAAATGTAGAGATCATTACAGAGCACTGAGAGGGATTTTAATGGTCAGACTTTCAAAAGTGTTGGAAAGTGGTCTGTAGCATTTTTTTTAAGAAGCCAACATATTGCTAATGGCACCAAATAGCACAGCTGTGTGCCAATCCCTGTAATCAACTTTCAAGTGAGCTTTACTGAGAGAGGTAAAAAGAAAAAAACATTAAAAAAAAAAAAAAAAAAGTCCCACAAAGCTAAATTAAAAGTAAGAAATCCCACAGGTTTTTTCTTTTTAAAACATTCGCAAAAAAACAAAAAACAGGTCACTCAAATGAACTTAACCTAGGTAAAGTTTTCACATTGATTTTGCTTGACCTCTCTCCCACCCGTCACATTTCTATACAGAAAAAGCAAACGAAAACAAAAATGAATATACATGCAGAAAAATCAGGTTGAGCTAAGGTCAAGGTCAGTGGGTGGCCAGGTATTGGGGTCAGGCGAGCTTAGAGAGACATCACAGACAATGGTGGGATGATGTGGGCCAGGAGTTTGGCTTGTCTTTCAACATCATGAAGACATGCTAGGCTAATGATGAGCAAACAGGCATGGAGATTTGTTCTAAAAAGGAACAAAAACACAAAAGGAAGAGAGGAGAGAGAGAAAGAGAGAGGACAAAGAGGAGAGAAGAGAAAGTTAGGGGCACAGCACAAGAATCATTTAGCCATGAGGCACAAAAAAACAAAAATAATGCCAGTCACCACATATACAGTAAGGACAACAGGGGGGACGGGCAACCCCCCCTCCTCTCCCAACGCACAAAAAACAAAACAATAATACACAGATTTAAGGAAGTGACACCACCAGGACATATGGCAGAGACTCCAACATGCACAAACTGTATACTTGGCACCCAAAGAGATCCATCTAGAGCCAGTCCCTTGTGGGAGACTTGGAGGATGGATGGAATGACTGGAAGAGGTTGTTAATAAAGACGCAGAGAGGTAGCCTAGCTCAACATGGCTTAGATAATGAAAGATGACAGAGAGAGAAACAGAGGGGATGGGGGTAGAAGAGAGGTGTGGTGAAGACTGGAAAATCTAGCGTAGAAAGGAGTTTCACATTGACAATGATACGGATGAGACAAACTGCACGTAAACAGCCAAACACAGGCTAAAGCTCTGGGCTCGGGGGTCCTTGTGACCTAGCTTCAGAAACAACAACTGATCCTTAGTCAACCTGTCTAGCTTGACCTGAAGGCAATGAAATGGCATGGAAACATCTGATGCTCTCCACTAAATACAGTGACACAAAATACCTCCAGCGAACACCGACTCCAGTGATAGTCATAAATAATCATATACATTAAAATACTAAATCAGACTCAAATTACATGACAAAACCGCAGGAATGAAATACAGCAAAAATGTGGAAAGATCATTGCAAACATTTTTTTTTCTTTTTTAAGGAATAGGCCGAGTCTCCCTCCTGTGATGGGCTTCTGTCCCCTTGCCCCACTGAGTCTCTGCTGTGGTGACCTTGGCTGGAGGGTGAACTTACCCTAGCAGTGCTAGCTTTAGAGCTGGGGAGGGGGAAGGCCCCGGGGCTAGGATCAGTAGGGTTTGCTGTCGTTCTTGGAGCGTTTCAGCTGAACCTTCAGCCTCTTCATGCCAATCTGGAAACCATTCATGGCCTGGATGGCAGCTTGTGCAGACACAGGATTGTCATAGCTGACGAACCCTGAGAAAAAAGAAAAACTAAACTGAATACATTACAAAACAGCAACTTAATGCCAACATTTCATTTCCATATCACCAGGCTGACCATCACCCCCTCTCCTTGGCATCTGCCTTCCTGTAGCCAGACAGACTCCATCTTCACCATCATGGATTGCACATGGTGAATGTAGTTCTTTTTCTGCTCTAGAAATCCACTAAAAGTTTAAGAGCCACTAACCAGAACCTCCAGCAGGTGGAGTACTGGTTCACGTGCCTCTATATCAAACGGACAGCAGAGCAAAACAAGGACTGCAGTCACTACCTGCAGTTCACAACAGGAAAGCTGGAGCCCATCCACAGGATGAGCAAGTGACTGGAGAGGTTGCAATTCTTTCCCTTTAAAAGCACAAACCATGAAATAACTACCAGAAAAATCTAATTTTAGCTAAACTGAGTGTTTAGTGAACCTTCTGACAAAATGTACAAAATAATTTCCATATCAAAGTTTAAATGTGAATCATATTTGCTGCATTGGGTGTTTTCGTAATTTATACCTCAAAAGTGTATTGTGTAATTTATTTTGGTTTTAAGGGGAAATTAAACAAGATGACTCATCAGTTTTACACATATTTGGACACCATGTGGCTGGACAGGCTGCAGAGGAAAGCCACATGGTGTTTTATTTTTCTCTCTGCCAGTTAATGTCAGAGAGAAGGGTCACAACTATAAATACTGCCTTGTGAATCTGAGATTTAGAGGGCAGGAAGAGCAGCATGTCCAACAGACTGCTGTCTCAAACCTGCTCTGACAGAGAGACTGACGACCTTCTGTCCCCAAGGCCATAAAACTATTCAGCTTCCCTCAACTACAGTCAGAGTTACCTTTATTCTAGCACTTTGATAGTGAACTGCGACTTAGCCATGTTAACGTAATGCACAAAAGCATGTGCATTATTACATACTCCTCTTCAATTTTTGCACCATTTTCACTCACTGCTTTAAATTTGCATTTGAGGTGGTGTTACATCACAATACTGGTGTACTGCTTGCACTCAGTAAAACACTAATGCAAATGATATTTAATACCACCTCCGGTCAGACATACATGCATGCATCTAATCCATTTACATAGAAAATACAAGTATCAACATGTTCATCTTTACAGAGCACTTAGACTCCATTTAAACTTTAAATCTGCAGTGAAACAAAGTTGCTATGCCATTAACTGATGTAACCAGGGAAACGCCAGCAGTGTCACCACACTTACCAAAGCACTTGCTCAGATTGGTCTGTTTGTCAATGAAAACTTTGGCGGAGACCACATTTCCAAAAGGCATGAACATCTGCAGAAGATCCTGGTCCCCACACTCCTGGGGCAGGTGATAGATGAACAGGTTGGCGCCCTCTGGCCCTACTCCATTTGGTAAGAAATTCAGATACTCTAGTTAGACGTGAATTCAAATGCACACAAAACATTTACTGTAAACATAAAAGTTCATTGCATTTAGGAAGAAACTTCTGAAAATTCTTATTGAGTGATGTGTGCCAGGGATCTTCTCACCTTCCTTCTGACTGCCAGCCACACTCTGCTGAAGGAGAGACTGGCTGTAGAGGGCGGGCAGGGCAGACGCTGTGTACTGCTGCATCCCTGAGTAGGCCTGGGTTAGGGCATCCATAGAGCTGACTGCTGACCCGTTGGCCATGGAGGCTCCCAGACCCCCGTTCATGGCCCCCATACCTGTAAGAAGCAAAAGTTTAATAGTACCCATTGAGCATGGGGACCCAACATCAACATGCATCTTCCTTTTTTTGGCTTGTATCCAGTTTTTAAATAAGGAGATTCTCACCACTGACGCTGCTGGTGAGAGCGTTAAGGTTGTTGAGGCCCACAGAGGTCCCAGTGAGACCTTGCAGAGTCCCCAGAGATGCCAAGGGGTTCACGGCAGCGGCAGCACTGGACCCTGCTGTTGACCCAACTGTTGACAAATGACAAAAAAAAAAAGAAAGAAAAAAAAAAAGATTCTTAAAACCTTACATCTGCCTCACATTGTTATGGTTATAGAGGAGGACATGGCAGAGATGAGGCAGTTAAAAATCTGTCTCACAGAGAGGAGCGGTCATTAGTAAAGCAGCCATATGTTAAACTTAGACAGATGGAGCCAATGTATATTTACACAGATTGAAGGGAAATGGGGGCTCTCATAAAATTTTTATATGTGGGTGATTAACTCCCATAAAGTAAATGAGGAATGGCTGAGGGCTGTTAGGCAAATAGTAGATGAGGGAGATTTGCAGAGGAGAAGTGGCCCGACTGTGGACATGCACTGTACACCTCAATCAGCGAGAGAGTGAATCTTTATACTTTAGTTAATATATTATACATGAATTAGTACACAAAGAGCAGAGGTGGCGACTCAAGCAATTACAGCCAGGCCATGCCAAAACACACCCCTAACAAAACTAACTAGTCATGATGCTGCCATGGGGCTCGACTCACAGAACTGTTGTATGTATTGTACAGGCAGCATTCAAAATTCATCTCATGTTTGTGTTTAATTACCTGGACTGGCAAGAGCTCCCAGGGCACCGCTGCTGGTAGACAGAGCGCTGGTGGAAGTTGGGCTGGCAGAACTCTGAGCTGCAGCTGCAGCGGCAGCTAATGTGGCCAGGTTCTGCAGCTGAAGTGGATTCACACCCGCTGAGAGTACAAAGACACGCGAATTATCAAAGACTGAATTTTTCTGCATACAGCATAAATTTGAAAGTAGTCATGGAAGAAATACATAGATTTTAAAAGCAAAAGAACAAACAATGAATTTTTAAAGTTTAAAATAGGATGTGCTGCCATTCATTTAAAAGCTTTCCTCTATATTAAACTGCTTGGATATTGGGAAATTTACCATCACCAAATCACATTCTCAGATCTCAGAGAATGCAAGATGGACACGGCTGTAAAACCTCATATTTTTCTTCCATTTACCATTTTGGAGATTTAAAACCAGGATGGCTCTGACTTAGTGACAAATGTCATCCTCATACAGTGGCTACTTGTCAATTACAGGGTAGGGCCACATTAAAAAAAAAAAACAAAACAAAACGCCTTGCTTTTTGAATGCTGGCACAATAAATTGACAAGAGAAGTCGCCCCCCCACTGGTCATGAGGGAGAGTGCAAATTCAAGCCACTTAAACCTGGATCGGGAAGCTATTTTAACATTTTAAATACAGTATATTACTTTAGCATGACCAACAAAAGAAGCAGACTTGATCTATCAAATCCATCTAATATGAATTCCAACTTGAAGATTTATCATTCGTTTTAGCACCCCATCTGTAGTTTTCAAGCTCTTCACATTGGCTTTTAATATGACCAAGGCAGAGGGATGAGCAGTTTGTCTTCAAGCAGCCGGAATAGGCTGAAAATAGCATTATTGGTAATTAGCGTGCCACTGATCTGAAAAGAGTAATGTAATTTAAGGTACTTAAAAGCATGTGGGCGAAGCGCAGCGAGACAGAGGGCTGGTGACATGAGCAGCACAGCTTGTAGGGGTGGGCGATAGAAACGATATAAATTTGGCCAACAATAGAGATTTTGACTATATCGCTCTATCACGATTGCGCATGTTGATGTCATCAAGCTGCGCCTGTTTTGGTTGAAAGCATCGCAGCGGCTACAACCATTATCATCTGCACGTCATAGACACTTCACCTCCACTACTGGAACTTCAACATTATGCACTCCATACTGTATAGTAATGCCACTGTTTTGCACATGTCTCAACTCTGTATATTTTTATATATTTTATTTATTGACTATTTAATTTGTAAAATATGTGTACACACACACACACACACAGAAAAACATTTAGTATATACATCCAGAATTATTATTTTTTTTGCATATACTATTATATATTGTACATATATTTATTAGTTTCAGATTTAGCCATTCGTATACTTTGCCTGTTTATGTTATTGTATTTTGCACAACTCTGTTGCTTGTGAAGCTCGCACACAAGAATTTCACTCGCATGTGCTGTACCAATGTACCTGCACATGTGATATGACAATAAAAAAGTGATTTGAGTGATTTGATTCAAATTATGCCCGGCGACAGTCATAGCAAAGAGATGAAGCACTTTTGAAATATGGGGAAAGCAAAAAACTGCGCTTCCTCCACTTCCATAACATTGATTCATTAATGTTGAATTCTCTCGCAGCTGTTCTATTCCCATGTTGTTGCAGTATATTAATAACTAACCTTGTATTGTGGATGAATAATCTTAATTGTTCTCCTGACTGAAGTTTGGCCCCTGTATAGCATCCCACTATGCGATTGCATTTGTCTCCAACCACCAGAATCCCTCACGTTAACTTTTATCGAGTGGAAAAAAAGTTGGCGTTCATCCTCCAGCTTCACTGTGCTAATGTTATGCTAACATAGCTGTGTCACTAGCAATCCCATAGCACAACATTATATACCAGGTAGTCCAACTTCAGTAACCCTGCAAACGCCACTCCTGTTTAGTTTTCTGTCTTCATTTATGTTGGAAGTGGTAGCAGAGCTGTACGTTTTAATTAGTTTAAAAAAAAAAATCTCTCAGTCAGAACATGGCATGTCATGTTTACGTGGAAACTAGCGAGCTAACTTCCTGCTAACTTCTAACTCTGTTAAAATTAATAAATTCTGTTTTCATGGATGCCTGGATGTTAAACTTAATTGTTACACCCGATAAAGCAGCAACGCTGATGATTTAATTAAAGATGAAAGAATTTAGACCGTTTTTAACTCAATGTTCGTTTGACTTTGGGACCTGAAGGGATGGAGTTTTGGACCCAGATTACGCCGCAAAGCTCCTCACTACGGCAGCCGTAATGCTCTGACAATCCATCAAGCCATGCAGCTTGCCAAAGTTGTACTAAAACATTTTTTAACATAACGCCAAAATCGGTTCGAGGTGAGTAAGCACAACCAGAATTCATACATAAGGCACACTCTCGATTTTTGAGAAAATTAAAGGATTTTAAGTGTGCCTTATACTGTGGAAAATACGTTATACAGAAGAATAGAATATCGTGATATATATCTCGTTACCGCACGTGCTTCAAATTATATCGCGATATGAATTTTAGGCCATATCGCCCAGCCCTAACAGCTTGTTCTTTTTGCATTCCTACGACTCGTAAACTGATCTTCTGAAACTCACCTCCTAGCCTTTGAATACCATTGAGACTGCCTTGGTTACTGAGAGAAGTGGCCTGCTGGAGCAGCTGTCAAGATATGAAAGAAAACAAAAGTCAAATCTAGAAAACAAAATTAGATCAGACATGATAATTAATATTATTTTTTCCTAACATTATTAAATCCTCTTTAAATTTGGGGACTAAATTATTCATCCATCCATCCATCTTCATCCGCTTTATCCGAGGCCGGGTCGCGGGGGCAGCAGCCCAAGCAAAGAGGCCCAGACCTCCCTCTCCCCAGCCACCTCCTCCAGCTTATCCGGGGGAATACCAAGGCGTTCCCAGGCCAGCCGAGAGATATAATCTCTCCAGCGTGTCCTGGGTCTGCCCCGGGGCCTCCTCCCGGTGGGACATGCCTGGAACACCTCACCCAGGAGGCGCCCAGGGGGCATCCTTGTCAGATGCCCGAACCACCTCAGCTGGCTCCTTTCGATGTGGAGCAGCAGCTGCTCTACTACTCTGAGCCCCTCCCGGATGGCCGAACTTCTCACCCCATCTCTAAGGGAGAGGCCAGCCACCCTTCGGAGGAAGCTCATTTCTGCCGCTTGTATCCGCGATCTCGTTCTTTCGGTCACTACCCACAGCTCGTGGCCATAGGTGAGGGTAGGGACGTAGATCAACCGGTAAATTGAGAGCTTCGCTTTTACACTCGGCTCCCTCTTCACCACGACGGACCGGTGCAGCGTCTGCATTACTGCAGCCGCAGCCCCAATCCGTCTGTCGATCTCCGGCTCCCTTCTCCCATCACTCGCGAACAAGACCCCGAGATACTTGAACTCCTCCACTTGGGGCAGGAACTCATCCCCGACCCGGAGTGGCCACTCCACCCTTTTCCGGCTGAGAACCATGGCCTCAGATTTGGAGGTGCTGATCCTCATTCCCGCTGCTTCACACTCGGCTGCGAACCGTTCCAGTGCGAGCTGGAGGCCCTCACCCGATGAAGCCAACAGAACCACATCATCCGCAAAAATCAGAGATGAGATTCTGAGGCCACCAAAGCGAAAGCCCTCCGCCACTTGGCTGCGCCTAGAAATCCTGTCCATAAAAATTATGAACAGAACCGGAGACAAAGGGCAGCCCTGGCAGAGCCCATCACCCACCGGGAACGAGTCCAACTTATTGCCGGCAATACGAACCAAGCTCTTGCAACGGTTGTATAGGGATCGAATGGCCCGTAGCAAACTATTCACTGTTTGTCTAATCTGTGGAAAATTATCTGATGCACAGGAACAACTCTGGACCAAGATTTATACTCCATGTCATTATTTTGACAATGTTAGCAAGAGGCAACACATTTTGACCAGAAGGCAAAAAGTTATGTGAGGTTTAAATTAAATAAACGGCACGACAGCTTTTACAGCTTCATGCAACAGGCTCAATGTCTCATTTTTGTCCCAGAAACATAAAACGCCTCAGCTGTTGCCATCTAAGTCACGTTCTTTGGCTCTGAATTAGAGAAGGCATATGCAAGTCACATGTCAGTGTCCTTTAGCCAGAAAACAGTTCGAGGAGGAAGATTATTCTACTCTGAGCCAAGTTTCAGTTTGTACTTTTGGTCAAAGTATTGTGCAATATTCAGCTTACACAATGACCTAATACATTTTCAGCTTGCAACAGATTATTTTATTACTTAGAACAATATGGTTGGATATGTCATACACAAAATGGCAGCTGTGTTTCCAGCTAGAACAGTCATTACCAAAACTTAGCAAAAAAGAAAAAAAAAAAAAAAAAAAAAAAGAGGGATCACCTGACCTTAATATCCTAACACAGGAACACATTCATAAAGCTTGGTGATAAAATTCTTACATGCACGCTCACGCACCCACTCACCCACCCACGGGATAGATTGATAATTATCAGGTGGTTCAGTGCTCTCTACCAAGTGTATTCTGTACACTCAATATATTTAAACAGATAAACTATAAAGGTTTTAGTACATTAAGGCTAATCTGTGTGTTCTTTAATAAAACTCACAGCCAGGTACTGCGGTGAAAGAGTCCCCAGCCCAGCCAGGTTTCCCCAGGTGGAGGCGCTGTTGAGCTGCTGAATCTGCTGTACTAGCTGCTGCTGCAGGCGTCGCTGCTCCTTATCTCTCTGTGTGTCAGCAAACTTCACCACCAGAGGTGAGGAACAGCCCTGGAGCGGTGAAGAGTTAAGAGATGTTAGACCGGTTCAAAAGCACACCAAGTTTATTTACCCATGCAAGGACAGTCACTGCATAGGGATTTTTTTGAATTCGTTTTTTTTTGTTTTTGTTTTTAAAGGGGGGAGTGGGGTGGGTTTGGTTCCTCTATGCCTCAAGATAGTTGTATGCCTGTTGCATTCATATCAAAGCTAAAAGAGAGGACATGTGCCATGCATAGCTAAACCAGGCCACATTCCAAATAAATAAAAGCACAGGACAATGGTGCAGACGGTGAATCATTTAAGCACGTTAAAGAGTTTAATCGAGTCCACAAATAGGTAGACAACAGATGGACAACATTAACAATAAATAACATTCAAACAGGGATATGTCAGACATTAAGAAAAATGCATTACAATACGGAGACTCTCGCAAACAGACAGTCACATGTTCAGACAGACGCATGGACAAGGCATGCGGTGCAAAAGTATTTTAAGAGTTGAGAGCCAGATGGGGACCAGGCTGGTTAGGGAAAATGGCTTCTGCACCAGCAGCAACTCCCACAGCAGCTGAGAATCGGGGAGTACGTGATTGTGGGGGCAGAATAGGTGGCACTGCTACTGCCCCCCCCCCCCCCCCCCGAGTTTAATCTGGTAGGAGGAGTGTTATGTTTGGTTGGACTCCTAATTAGACTTGGTCTGATGCTTCACTGGGGAGCCTCTGACCTGCTAGCTGTCAAATTACCACTGCTCTACTTCCACAAAGACTCCATTGGCTATATGAGTACACAGACCCACTTTTTAAGAAGTCTAAAAGGGGAGCTGTTTCAGTCTAATTTTTTTTCCTGATAACCTATATTTGATAGTGTGGATTCTTTTCCCCTGTAGTCCAAAATACAGACTAATATAATGGCACACTAATGGGTAGGCTCTGTTATCAGAATCAATAAGTGAAATGCATTTATTTCAGCCCAAAATAAAAGATGACAGCACTTTTTGTGTCCTGTTAGTTCTGAACTCAGCAGCTATGTAAAAGGCAATGTTTCAAGTTTTATTCAATTATTCTGCAGATGACAATGTAATTTTGTAATTAGCAAGAGTGGTTTTGGAAATGACTCATGCTTTGTGATGAATGGATGCCATCTGCTTGGACAGGTTCCTCATCTTTCAACACAAGGGGGCAGCAAAATGTATGGGGAAGGGGGGGGAGGGAAATGAGAAATAGGTGCTAAGGGGTACAGTACCTCCATAGTTTGAGAGTGATGCATGGTTTTGATTGCATTCTGTGCCATTGCCCTGGTAGCAAATGTGACAAACGCACAGCCTGTAGGGGGGAAACAATAGGAGAGGGGGAGGGGGGGAGGGACAAGAAGAAACAAAAACAAGACAAAAGGTTTGGACAACTCGTTATGAACCCCAAAAAAAGACATTACAGTACAGAGAATGGCAACTCCCAAGCACACAGAACCACCCTCACTGGTTAGCACATGAAGAAAGAACAACAAGGAGAACAGTAACACGTGTCAGATGAGCGGTGATCGACAGATTAAATTGCCACCCAGAGAGGCTCGACTACGTGATGTCATGGTGAGACAGTCAACGTGATTATATACACAGAAAATGCACACATAAATACACACTGAAGGGCTTTGATTTACTAAAATATGCAAGGCCTGCAAACATCAAAGGCTAATAGGGCCCGTTTCAAATTGTAGGAACACTGCGTACGTATACTAGAAAAAGAGCAGAAATTCATAGCTAGCTGTGTCTTCTGTGGGATTTAATCGTATATAAGCATCGACGCTAGAGCCTCGTGCTGCCTGCTATCTGAGGCTTTATTCAGCAGAGTGCTATGTAGGAGATGCGATGACAGGCTAATTCCAGCCTTTGTAGAGTGTGATGAAGGAGGCGGTAAAGGAGGAGCTGAGCCGCCTGCCAGCTGAGCCTACGAACACCGGCAGCCAGCGGTTGCCTAGGCGACGGGCCATTGTGGCGGACAGCAAGTGCAGTGGCCCTTCACTGCGAGTTGTGGAGGCAGAGTGTCACAGTAATGGGAGGATACACTATGTGGACAGAAAAAGTGCCACTGGAGGTGAATAGCACTTGATCTGAGGGTGCCGGGGTTGCAATGAAGAATCAGGGAGGGGCCCTGCATAAATACTTGATGAGAATATGTACTCTGGTGTGCTGAACATGGCGGATGCGCGGTGCTGAACATCATGTCCACACCAAAGGCACGCTTACCTCTGCTCTGACCATCCGGTCCCCGAAGTATTCGGCACTCTTCGATCTGTCCGAAAGACGAGAACATCATTCTGACCTCGTTCTCACCGTATTTCTTTGAAACCATGCCGACAAAGAGTTTTCTGTCTTCTACCGCTGCAGGAAGACGAAAACAGGAAGGCTATTTAGTGAAACCCAAACAATTATGGCGCTGTGAAAGCAGCACTTACATCAGGTGCGAAAATCTTGCACCCCTCTCTTTCTTGTTCAAGCAAGCGCTCTCTCTTTGTCATGCTGCCACATTTTCTGCCTCTCACTCAGAGTGCCAGCCTTTTGCACAAATCTCTGCGACTTGCCGCTTTGTTTTCCTTCTGTCTACTTCTCTAGACACAGAAGTATATCATCCTGTACCAGCTCTGCTCTTAAACCACTGCACTATATAGATGCTGTGTACTGCTGTCAATTTTACCCTTTTCAAATCTCACACCCCATTTGCCTTTACCTAATCCTTCTCCTTACAGGTTTTCCTCAACATCTCCATCTCATGGCTTACGTCATCCTGCATGAATCCACTTACCACTTGTTTTCTCACTGTCAGCGGGTTTCATCTGGATAGGATGATGCATCTAGGGGAAAAAAAAAAGAAAATGTAGGGAAACCATTCACATCTGTCACCATTATAAACTCTGTTATCTCTCATCATAAAGGCCTCATGTCTTCACTCATCCTTCCATCTTCGAGCATTTCTCCCCATCTCTTGTTTTGTTCTTTTGCTGTAAGACCATCATCCCTCACCGCCGCCAGATTCAGGAGGAAGTGTCTAAGAGTTGCTGGTAAGGGATCAAATTCTCCGGTATCCAATTTCACTTCTCGCTGTAATGTAGACTCGCGATTGAACTTATCGATTGCTACTGACAACATCCCTCATCTTCTATAGAAGAACTCTGTTTGACAAGCAAGCTTCTTTGGTATTGCTTTCAAAATGTACAGTGAGCTTCAGGTTTTGTTTCTTTTTTCCCTTCCTCCAGATACAAGTCTGTCAACACCCAATACACTATTGGATCACATACAAATAGAACAAGGTGTGGCAAATCTGAGCTGTGAAAAATCTCATTTCAGTCAGCATAACATCTCTGAACATGACGCTTGTTCTCAAGCTTGTTATGTGAGAAAGTGGAGGCAGAGCAAATGCTGTCACTTCATGCCACTTAATGAACAATTTTCTCCAAGAAGACTGAACTTCAAGTGACTACATCTATAGCACACTGCATGCCATGTGACGTGAAAGAAGAAATAAATCTAGCCATGAGATGTCTGAGCAGGTTGTACTTATGAAAAGTGGTGGGTTTGTTTTTGACAAGCACTAAGGAGAAGCAGACAGATGGCCTGCTCAGTGTGGGGACTGGCTAGCGTCACTGACCAAGTAGAGAGAGGCACAGAAGGGAGAGAAAACAAACAGGGAAACAAGCTTTTCCTCTATCACGCAAATCAAAAATCAGTCAACTGCAGTCAATGCCAGTAACAGTAGGACTCAGGAATGGGATTTGAGAGCTGAGCCGTTAGACCACACTTTGTTTGAAATGTCTGCCTGATTGATAGTCTTCCAGAGAAGAGAGCTAGGACATTATTCTCAGCCTGTGAGACTCATTTATCAGCTCGGTTCAATATTTACCTGCAAGCGCACTGACAGTAGCGCTTTTTACTGAAAGACTGGACTATTGGTTTCATCGACAGCTGGGGTTGTTGGGTATAGATTAAATTGATTGGAAAGCTGGCAATACAGAATGACGTATAGACAAGACAGTTTTGTGGATGTTTAACAAGCCACTGCACTTATTCCAGTTGGCTGGACTTTAATCTCACTAGAAGATCGGGTTAAGTATTAGGGGACCACATTCTGTCTCACCGGGCTGCATTGTTAAAACGGGGGGAGAGGGAGAAGAAAAAAAAAAAAAAAGGACGAAAAGAAAGCCTTCAACTTGCCTTCAGCTCCTTTCCTGCTTCTAATTTTGGGGAATAAAAATGTAGATGTGCATCAATAATTCATGAGTACAAGCATTAATAATTTGTTCCACTTTGTGGCAATCGGGTCCTGTGTCTCAGTGAATAACCTGCAGCCTGGTCAAGCAGGCTTTACCCGATACCTGCACGCTTAGCAATTCAGTGTGCCGAGGTTCAGGCCGGTCCTAAGTGTCGCGTAAGTGATAATGGGGGTTGAGACATTTCTCAGGCTAGACAGGCGTTCAGTGAACCGAGAGCTCATTATCGGCCAGCGTACAGCTCACAGCCTGCATAGGGGATGTAGTGGGGCTCAAGCAGCTAAAAGCAGCCCATGCTGTGCCTACTCACCCCACTTAAGGTCTTTATGTTGTGCAGTGCATTCTGGGCCTCCAGTGCAGCTTTTCTTGTATAAAAAGTTACAAAACAGCATCCTGCAGAGTGAAAAGAAAAAATAAAAAAAAATAAAAAAAATAGGGACAAACAATGGGTGGAGGGAGGGAGGAGACAAAACTGCATTAAAAACACAGCACACAGACATTAAATGTAATACCATGACTGCTGCAGAACAGGAAAGATGCTAAATGGATGAAAGTACTTTCACCACATATCATATTTTAGAAGCACGTGACAGGATATTCTTAGCGCCAACTGTTAGATGGTGCACATACACCATGTAGGAAGCTGGCAGCGAGGACAAAGGAGTAATGAGACAGCTGAAGGCTGTGACACAGCCAGAGAGAGTACCACAGGGTTAGACGGCTGTCAGGAGGCACTGATGTGCAGTCGGCAGGTCAACTCAGCCCAGGCCAACACATTACATTGAGTATATTGCTGCATTACATAAGAATCCAGTCCCATACATGTGTGCATACATATAAACATGAGGCATGAAAACAGCACAAAGAAACAAGAGGGAGTGGGAGAGAGCAAGGAAGAGAAACCATGGGAGGAGAGAGTTTGTGGGGGAGGGGAATGAAGAAAAGAGCGTTAGGAGGGGAGGAGAGGGGGGAAAAAAAAAAAAAAAAAAGCCTCTCATCCTTCCGTCCCAGTAGACCGCCAGTGGCGTTCCAGCCTGTCAGTTTCACTGGGCTGGGGAAGTGGAGCACTGCAGCGTCTCTGACCTACATAGTGTGTATTATGCTGTTACTGGAGCTCCCAGGCCACGGGGAGGGCTGTTGAACTCTAATATGCATCAAGCTGCACTCTCCTATCCCTCCCTCTCTCTCCTTCTCTCTCACAACCAGCTGAGCTCTCCCTTTCTCTACTGCTAAGCCCGTTCTCTGATATACTGGAGCTAAATAAACCATCCGGAGAGGCGTGATAGTCATCAGATGATTTTTTCATGACCTGCAGTAGGCATGACCTAAAAAAAAAAAGAAAAGGAAAAAAAAGAAAAGAAAAGAAAGAAAAAAAAAATAGTGCAAATCTGGTGATTTGTCAATTGATCTGCACCAAAGTAAACAAGCAAAAATGGAAGTAGGATTACAGCACTTTCAACAAATAAATTAAACAAAAGCAACATGATTATATAAGAGTTGGTTGGAGAGTGGCATTGTGTGGCATGCAAATAAACAACAGCCAGACTATCAGTAGGTCATTGATGAAACTGCAGTAGGAAACAAAACTACTGTGAAAGGAGGCCTACAGTGAAACTGAGTGTAGAGGTGTTGTTGCAAAACACATTCAACTTCACTTGGCTGGGTGAAAAACCTCCTGTGATCAGGCCTGATTATCTAATAGAATACATTAACATGTCCATAGGCCATCACAGCTGACACTGCATAGAGCAGGGGAGGGGTGCTGCTTAAACAATAAGGAGCTTTGAACTCTTCAGCCTCCCAAATGAACTGCACAGCGTTGTGTGTATATTTATACACACACACACACACACACACACACACACACACACACACACACACACACACCATTATAAGAACCCTGGGGACTTTCTGGTACACCTGTAAACACTCGTAGGATTATTTAGTGGTGTTACATGTGTGTACATCTGTTCCAAGGCCCTTATCATGGGAATTCAAATGCTCTCCTGGTGGCATGCTGTCCAGCAGTTTTGGCCTTGACCCAATAAAGTCAGGGTTTGAAACTCGCTTTAGTCAATGGGCCACGTACAGCCCAATTTGATCTCAAGTGAGCCAGACCAATATAACCACCCTTTCTGTTAATTTAAATAGTATTTATATTTTAAGGTAAGACATCTATTCAAAAAATAAATAAATTAAAAATTAACACAAACAGATAAAGTGATAAGTGCAATTTCTAACATGTAGAAAGTTACACATTTCACTGCAGTTGTTGCCAGTCAAAAGATATCCATGTCAGGTCACATGTTTGATACTCAAGGCTCTTTCAGAACAAATGGTGAAATTGTGATATGTCTGAATTTAGTGCAGATCTAATAAATGCCATGTCACAAGTTTATTTTCATCTATTTAGCATCTTTCCTGCTCTGCAAGCTTATTTTGTTGTTATATTGCTCTGAACCCAGAAAAAACACAAGACAGGATAAGTTACACTCATTAATTAAAAAACCCACTTCTGCAACGAATTGAGACAGAATGTCTGCACATTACAAGATAATATAACCTTTTTGTTTTTAAATTACAGTTGTGCAGCCGATGTTTACAAGAATACTAGAAAAGGAGATCCCAGAAAGACATTTATCTCTCCAGACAGTGCAACTGTTGTCAACCTGTCTTTGGCTTGTTAACAGCAACACACACACGATCAGCGAGGTAGTGTCAGTGATTCATAACAAACACCTCACAACAACTACATCTGGCCTGGATTGCCAGGGCGGTGTCTGGTAGCACAAATATGGTTCCTTTTAGACTCAAGCTTAGCATCAAGTATATTCCCACCACATTAAAAGCCAAGAGTGGTTTAGCGCCTTTAGCTACAGCGAATCATCCAACCATCAAGGGAACTGAGATTTGGGTGACCCAGGACAGTTACATCAAGGAAACTGTCGTTACTTTATTCACCTGCAGTTAGTTACGGGAGACTGAGCACTTCCAGTGGCACTTTGCAGCTCTCTGCAGACAGCAGGCTTCCACTTCACCGTCTCCTCTAATTGCAGCCTAAACTGAATCGCTCAACTCGAGCACCATTTCTAAGGTGAGCGCATCGATGGATGTCTTAATGGAAAATTGCAGTCAAGTAACACTCCCTTTGTACAATGCTGCTTCTAAAGCTGCATTGTACAAAGAAGAGGAAATTTAGAATATATGAATATTTAAAAAAAGATATTATTTAACCCTGAAACAAAAGACTGCTTGCATATGAGGTGATCTAACACAAACACAGCTGCACTGCATGTGCAGACAGGCAGTGCATTGCCTAAGTGCTAAAATCTGAAAGCAGATGAGGAGAGAAGGGGGTTTGCACCAACTAAGAGACCAAGTTGTTTTTAATCTATGAGCAATGAAGGTTTTCCAGAAAGTTTCACACCTAATTAGTGTCCATCTCTTATTAGAGATGGTATATAGAGTGAAAGTGAACAATAGAGAAACTGAAAGTATCATCTGAGCTTTTCAGTTGTGTCACTTCATTTAAACAGATTGCAATGCACGCCTCAAATACCTGCAGACTGCTGTTAGCATGCTAGATGCTATACTAGTTTTCCCCACTAGCAACTGGTGCACTCCTCACATATGGCAAAACAAACAAAACAGGTTTTTAAGATAATCTGGATGGATACATAATCCAATGTTTTCAATTAAAATAAAATTATTATATGCCAGATCGTTTATATTGAAATCTAAATCACTAAGGAGAAATTTTGCCTGCAAGGTAGTAGAACAAATTATTCCTGAAAGTGAACCTTTCACCCAGACTGTACCTTTGCTCTGAGGAGGATTCTGAGTGCGATCACGAAGAATGTTTATCTGGTGCACGGCTCCAAAGGGCTCAAATAGCTCTTTAAGTTCTGTTTCTGACCAGGAGCGGGGGATCTGTCCAACAAACATCTTGATGGAGTCAGGGTCTGGCTGGTCCAAGTGCTCCAGCGACCCGTTCATCTTGCTGCTGCTGCCGTTGCTAAGAAGAAAAAGAAAGAGAAAAAAAAAAGAGAGAAAGAAAAGAAAAACAATTTTTGTAATGTGTATGCCAGAGGTTAAACAAATTTAATATCATAACCATACTGCTTCAGTAGGTCACGAAAAGTAAAGGAACAATTACCATTATCTGGTTTAGAACTACTTGCACTCACATCTAAGTACTGTCCGGTTTGGCAGCTAACAATTTAATTTCATTTTCATGCTTAGCTTAAAGGAATGAGTCACATAATGATAAATGGGGATGGGAATTAAGAACAGGTTCTTGCAGAAAACCGGTTCCTAGTAGTCCCATTTCTTGGAATTGTGTGTTCTTCCCATGGATCCCCCTTATCTGCTCTCACACTCACTACAACCAGCTGATTTCTGTTTGCAAGCAATAGTGACACTGTCTAGAGCAGAGGTTCCCAAAGTGTGGGGCCCGCCCCCTGGGGGGTGGGGGGGGTGGGAGCTGTAAGAAAAAACTAAAATGAACCCTTGGACACTGCTAGCATCATTGACAGGTTTTTGACGGGGCTCCCACACAAACGGAAAGCTGGAGATGGAGCATCGCCAAATACGTTTCCAAACCAACTTCCTTCCAAGCCAAATGCTAGAAAATGTGATGAAGCACATCTTCCCTTTGGCTCCACCTACACAAGTGCCAAGGTAGGTCTCTGTGACAGAATTAGTTTCCCTTGCGTCGGGAGCACGCGCTGGGCTCTTCAAATCACGGACAAACAGTATCCCACATTCTTGATTTTTAGTTCACAAACACTTCTTGTAAAGACTAACTACTCCTGACATTTTGGAGATGTGAGCTCTTTATACAGTAAAGTTAGTGGGATCCAAATAATATCAGGCTGATCCTGCCACGATTTGTTCCCCCAGTTCAAATCACAGACTAACAGTATCCCACAGTTGTTTATGTTTTTGAACCCATTTTGCACAGAGAGGCATTTGAGAAATGTATCGATAGCAATGTTGAATATTATTACACAGGGGAAAAAAAAAACCAAAAAAAAAAAAAAAAACCCCCACGAACATTTTTCGTGTAAAACAAAGGGGGGGGGGGGGGGGGGGGGGGGGGGGGGCAGCAAAAAAGGTTGGGAACCACTGGTCTAGAGGATGGATATGCACCTTTTTTTTTTTTTAAATTGCACGAAAGGACAAGATAAATGGTGGACAAATGTATGCAGGACTGAAATAACTGCATAATACTGCTAACACAACTTTGGTTCTTTGCAAGCATCTGCCAAAACAGCATGCTATTGCTAAGCTAGCCAAGAACCCATAGTGAAAGCCGAGTGAATACCTACCCCAGCTGCCAGACCCTTAGCTTCAACAGGCAACAAGCACATGAGCAGCCTCCCTTTCTACCCGTTCACGTTTCTAAAGCAGAATCACTTTGTATTCTATTAAGAGAAAAATCTTAGAGATGTGCCCTCATTACAGATTTGTATTGGTGTGTGGGGTTGTAGCCTCAGGTTTGTATTGTTAAATGGTGATTATGAAACATTAAAATAGCTGAAATGCACTGAGTAACATGAAAGTAATGTAATCAGTTGTATAACAAATTACTCTCGGGAGTAATTAAGTAATGTACTGCATTACTTTTAAGAAAAGTGTTCTGTGTAATATGTGTAACAATGACGTTTTTGAGTAAAGACTCCAACACTGATTACAAAGAGGAAATACCTCTTTGAACATTTGACCCACATCATGTAATTAAGTTGCATGAATGTAATTTCTTTATTGCTGCTTAAGCAACGGTTTTCACTCTCAAAACTAAGCCAAAGAGAACCTGATGACAATCGATAAGGAATCTAATTAGTGATATCGATAGTGGAATTGCTAAATTCTTATCAATTCCCATCCCTACAATAAATATCTAATGCAAATTTTAGAGTGGCACAGAAAGGGCCTGAGCAAATGATCAGCTTCAATGAGTTATTCTTCCAGCAAAAAGGCAATGTCACAATAGTGCCAGTAGTTCAGGCAGATTTAAACAGCCATAATGCTGCTTTCTTCTAGAGGCTGAAGTTTAGAAAGTCACTAAGGTCATTTAATTTAGAAGCACGTGACAGGATATTCTTGGCGCCAACTGTTAGATGGTGCATATACACCATGTATGTATATCTGTTTATAGTTTTTTTTTCTTTTTTTTTTTAAAAGAAAAAAGTTACACCATCTTTTATTTTTTTAACATTCACCTAAACATACTGAGACAAAACCAAGATTTAATAAATAGGTTACACTGTGTTTTTAGTATTATAAATAAAAAAAAATAAAAGTGTGTATTGCATTTTCAGAATTCCTACCAAAAAGTCAAATGATTTTGCAGTGTGACCGTTTAAACACGCGTTTACTCAAGTGCAAGCTGAAACAATATATCATTTACAAATTATTGCCAGCTTCCTCTGGGGAAAGCTTTGGGGACAGAGAATCAATACCCACCAGTGTACCTGTGACTACAGCATCTTTGTCTCACTCTCACACAGAATCAAACACACAAACTGTTCCTGACAGGGGTAGAGGCGCTGGAAATTATGAATGAGGGTGAAGTAACAGCCCTTCACAGGAAAAGAAATAACTTGCAACAGGTTAAGACTTCCAACGCACACTACAGATATGTAATATTTCAAACAAAGGGGGGGGGGGACAACACGGACAACACCGTGGTACTAATCTCACAAAAAAGTATATGAATGTTTGCACATTTAAAATAACTATTTTGCACACAAACCTCTGAACACGAGTCATCCATCTCTTGCAAAATGAACCCAGCCGTTCAGCAGAAACACCAAACTCCTTGAGGGACTTAAATGACATGCTAACAAATCACACTTCTGCTCGTGTTCCTCCCGAAATCCAACTCCACACCTCCAAATTAGCCCTTGCCCCTTCCCTCTGAAGGCTTTCAATACATTTGAATGATGACAAACAATTTTCCCAGAGGGAAAAAAAAACAAACAAAAAAAACAAAAGGAACTACTGTGAAACAAAAACCTCTTCTCCAAAAGAGGGGATAGTGGCCCCTCCCACTAGCATGTAACAGCTACTCAAAAACAGCACCGCAAAGCTCTAAACTTCCAAGAATCGGTGGTTAGCAGGCCGAGATTTTGCAGTGCATCTCCTCCTCAGGCGCTTTGGCGATGGTACAGAGAGTAACCTACAGCTTCTTTGCCACAGCAGGGGAACAATCACATATTGTTCCCCCATGCCGGAGAACACTATTCACCGTTCCTCTGCGGCACAATGGACCAAGTCATACAGACGCACTGGAACACGTCGAAGGCTACGTCTGCTAAGGCCACAGTACTGGTGTGTGACACCATTTGTCCATTTCTGCCAGTGGCATTCCGACGCCATTTTGCCATAGGCACTTTGCTCAGATCTCACAGCACAGAGAAAACCTCACTTGAAAATACTGGATTTGTGTCAGAATTCAAAAACATGAAGGCTGCATATGACACCGTCTCCTTTACATTCATTAAACTCTCAAAGCCACTGCAGCTGTGCATAGCTCTTCCGCTATGCGACTGTGAGAATACATTCTTCAGGCATGATTCTGCTGCATTTTTAGTATACACATTAGGACATTATTCAAGGAAGTAAAATTCAAGTAAACAAAATCTATTATGAAACTGTCTGCTTCAAGATGATGTTGCATCATACAGCATAACCGAGCTGACAACTGTACAGTCACCTATGAATATTACAAAGGTGACTGCTGCGAACTAAGTATTTACATTTGCACGTATAAACCAGTTTAAAGTGATGTCATATGCTGCAGAGCTGTTTTGCAAAACAAAAACCTGTTGGTATAAAACCCAAATAAACATGTAGCTGATATCCATTCACCGTGGGTCCAATAAGGTCAGAAGATCTGGGGCATTAAGTAAAGACATACCACTGTTGGCATTTTTTTCCTAAATGTTTTTTTTTAAAAACAAATACATATTCAAATTTCATCAACTTTACTGTAGTGGGAGCAACACCAGAAAAATCAAGACATTCAGACAGACTTTGTAACTTTAATTACTGCTATCGGTATGACAGGCACAGCAACATTGTTTATACCATGCTAATTAAGGTTGCTTGATTATGGCAAAAATTAAAATCATGATTATTTAACACAATTATGCTATCAGAAAAAAAATAGCATTTTTTCCATTTAAATAGTCATTCAGACAATTTGGGCCCTGGGAGCAGCAAAAAGTGGGGCACTTGAAGACCAAACAAGACCATACTTGTTAAACCGAATGTGACAATAGGCATTTTAATCCCAATTACCTTGTTTTAATACTGACTGAAAGCCAAACAAAACAGTAACTGGAGTTAAAATTTGATTCATTGGGCAGCTACAGCGTCAAAAATAAAAACGCTTTTAAATGTAGATTTTACAAGGATGTGCCATTTTACAACTTACAAATGGTAAATAGCTCTGAATTTGTCAGAGCACCCAGAAGAAGATCATCTATCTTAAGCTGCTCTTTAACCATGTTGTGGACAGAGACAGGTGCAGACACAGATGAGTGGTTATTCCTGTTATACTCCTTTGAAGTCCACAAGAAATATGGATGAAGGGTAAACGCAAAGTTGATGCAATGCCACGTACAAAGAGCAAGAGCCACGCGCTCACCTTATGATGACAAAATCTACAGCAAACACCATTATCTACAGCATATCTACATAAGCAGCTGTGTTTTCCCACTTATTGATCACATCATCCAGCCTGCTTTAGATTACAGAGTGTCAACCTGAACACTGACCACCCCAAGATCAAAAGTTTCTCAGGCTCATTGTACATTTTGATTTGTGTGAATTGCCAAAACTCAAGTTTTTTCAAAGCTACTGCAATTTGGGTGGTGCAGCTGTCAGCCTGCTGCAAAGCTTTTGACAGTTTTGAAGATTTTGGCAAATTAAACAACTTGTTTAACATGCACTGTTGCCACACAGTTTTAAAACAAGTTGGTTGTTGATAGAAGGGAAAAAAAACAA